TTTTTTGTTTTTTGTTTTGTTTTGGTATCGGTGATTGAACTCAGGCCCTTGCTCTTGGGAGGCAGGCGGCGGGACCACTGAGCTAAGTCCCCGGCCCCAAAATACAGATTTTAAATTGGAGTAATTTACAGTTGTAATTTATTTTCATTCCAGCATTTCATTTATTTCTGTATTTGTTTTTGGTCTCGTAGTATAGAGAAAATCCATTCTCACAGTTAAGGAGTAACAAATTTTGTTTAGAGTTCACATTACCTCTAAGTAGTCTTTTCAGTTTCCATAGATCAAAACATAAAGAGAATTATTGTAGGACATTTTGTTTCATAGTGGAACTGAAATCTCTAACAACTGCTCATGTGTCCTTTTCATAAATCTAAGCCGGGCAAGAAGAATCCAAACCTAATACTGTCTCTGGCCACTTGTCCCGCATTCCCACCATCACTGTCAACATTCCAAGGAGAGCACCTGCAGGTGTGCCTGGCTGGCCAGCGTTTACTGAGTGGGACGTGTGCATATGTTAGTATTGTTCTCGCGGGACAGAAGCTGACCTGAGTTAACTAACAAATGCTCAGAAAGAGCTAAGCCTTCCTTATGCACGTTTCTGGAAAGCTTAGTACACCCAAAGATGGCGAGAAAAGCTTTATTCCAATGATTACGTGAAAAGTAAATTAACTTGGCAGTGCAAGTTGACGCATTGGTGGTTTTCTCCTTACTACCCTCCCTTCCAAACTCTTCTTTTCTTCCTCTTCTAGTCCCCCAGTTTTACAGCAGAAGTCAGAAGAGTTTCGTTTTATCCCTTAAGAATAAAACAAAATACTGTTTTTTTCAAGGTGCCAGCTTGGATGCATCTTTACAGATAATCTTGTAAGGTTCTTAGCGAACTGCAGGATACAGGTAGCTACTCGAGATGGTAGAACACAGGAATGAGTGTGAAGATCTGAGATGCTTGGGCTTCTGATGCTGGATCTGTCTACTAGCAGGAGGTGGTTTGCTTTTTTGTTTTTTGTTTTAAGAAGAGGTTTTTTGGCTCACAGTTAGGAAGTTTCATTGCATGACTGACGGGAAAAGGCGTGGTGGAAGGGCCTGGGTAGAGAACGCTGCTTGTCTCGTGGTGGCCAGGAAGCAAAGCTGGTTTGGTTTGATTTTGGTTTTTATTTTGTCTCTATTTTGAGACAGAGTCTCGCAGTGTATTTCAGGCTGGGCTTGAACTCACTGTGTATCCCCTGCTGGCCTCCACCGTGCACAATCTGCTGGCTTCAGTCTCCCTAGAGTGCTCGGATTGCAGGCATGTGCCATCATGCCCAGAAGTTTTTAACTCCAGTCTGCAAGGAGACAAGAGGAATGAGGTGTGTTGAGGTTATTGTGTAACTATCCAAAAATTTCTCAGGTTGTCTAAAACTGATTGCAGCTGGGCATGGTGGTGTATGCCTGTAATCCCAGCTCTGTGGGAGGCCAAGGCAGGAAAAGCACAAGTTTGAGCTCTGCCTGGGCAACTGGTGAGACCCCATCTCAAAATTTAAAAAGGGCAGGGTTATAATTCAGTGTGAAGGCCTTGGTTTAATTCCCAGTACTGTAAGGGGGGGGGAGACTTTACCCTCCCTTTTTATAAACTTTAAAAACAAATACTAATTGAAAATTGGAGCTATAAACACTGAACCAAAATAATCTCTTTTTGAAAGAAATTCATGGTTATTCAGTCTCTTTACAAGGATGGGATTTACTCACCTACTAATATGAAATGTGTATCTGTACTAGTGGGGGATCAGTAGGCTTGCTGTATGTATGAATGTTTGAAAATTAATATCTTAACTCCAAAAAAGTACTAATAGATTCTAGGCTTGTCTAAAAATATTTATATTCTAAATCATAGCTGATAACTCATGGTTATAAATAAACATTAAGTGGCTTGATTTAGGACGTTTTTAACTACTACATAGTTCGAGAATCTTTTTAGGTTTAGTGGTGTTGGGGAATGTAACAGTTACTGTTGTCTTAGATCCAGGATTTATCTGTATATCATTACATAGTCTTCAAGTCTCCTGCTTGAATCAACTGAGTATTTCTCTGAGATGGACTCAGTTCTTTAACTCCGTTCTTCGTGAAAGAAGCAAACTGAGAGCTGAGGGAACTTGAAATTGTTTTACCTTTGAGTGAATCCAAATTTTCAAGCATTTATTACCTCAATAGGTGTCTTTTGTGTTTTTCTGCCTTTGGGATACGTGGCTGGATACGTGCTCTCCTCCCTCAGTGGTAGAACAGGAATTTGGTAATCAGGGAGCTCTTCTACAAGTCTTCTGTGTCATAGATCAGCACTTGTAGGAGTCAGCTTGCTTAATCATCCTGAACTGGTTTTCTAATCTTCACATCAGTGGACCAGTGCTTCCCATGAAGGGAGTAAAATAGTAAAAATAGAATAATGTAGAATCTTCATTTGTTGTATTGATTACTTTGTTAGGATGATCCTTTGTTTATATTGATTACATTGTTGGGATGATTTGACTATATTAGCTAGATAAATGTATTAAAATTAAGTTCACCTATTTCTCTTTACTTTTTAAAATGTTTCTGGAAAATTTAAATTTCTGTACCTGACTCTTTTTTTGTTTTTTTTGTTTTTTGGTACTGGGGATCGAACTCAGGTCCTTGCACTTGCGTGGCAGCCAGCAGGACCATTGAGCTAAATCCCCAGCCCCGTGACTCATATTTAAACAGTGCTGGTTTGTACAATATTTGGTAAACTGACTTATAAAATATTTGTGTTAGGCCAGGCGCAGTTTAGAAGGGGACATCGTCCAATACAATTTTCTTCAGTGATACAACAATTCTCTGTATAGCCACATATGGTTAATGGCTAATATATTGAGACGGTGAGAACCTTAAAGATTTTATTCAGAGACTTGTACGGGGGTGTCTTCCTCACACACACACATACACACACACACACGCCACCAGGGATCGAATTTAGGACCCTGCACTTTCAAGGCAGACATGGCACCACTGAGCTAAATTCCTAGCCCTTGTACAGGGTTCTTTTATTCAGAGACTTGTGCATCTAGTCCTTGTTGTTGTTGTTGGTATATGTGCTGCTGAAGTGAGCATGTTGTTGTTGGGTTGGTATTTATTTATTTATTTATTTATTTTGGTACCGGGGATTGAACTCGGGTCCTTGCACTTGCAAGGCAGGCCACCGAACCGCTGAGCTAAATCCCCAGCTGGTTTTTATTTATTTTTTATTTTTTATTTTGTTTTTTTTGAGACGGTGTCTCACTTTGCAGTTCAGACTGGCCCTGAACTCACTACGTAGTCCAGACTGGCCTCGAACTCCTGAGTCCTAGGATCACAGGCCTGTGCCACCATGTCTAGCTCTTAGGCTTTGTTTATCAAATTTCAAACTTGTTAAGTCGCTTAATATTAAATGTATTAGTCATCACTTTCCCATTGCTGAGGCAAAATACTTGCCACCCACAATTAAGAGCAGGAGAGGTTTATTTTGGCTCATGATTTCAGAGTGTTCAGTCCATAATTCTCTGGTTCCAAGGCAGAAATGACATGGTAGAAAGGCCTGGTGGAGGAAAACTGCTCAACCCATGGCAGCCAGGAAACATAAGGGAGGAGCCAGGGACAAGAATACACCCTTCCAGGTCACGCCCCTAGTGACCACCTCAAAACAGGCCCGCCTCTTAAAGCACATTCAGCCGTGAACTCATCAGTGAATTAATCTACTTATCACCCCATGACCCACCTACCTTCCAAATCCCCACCTCTGAAAACCTGAGACCTCAGGGGGACATTTCAGATCTAAACCATAACAGTAAGTATATAGTTTACATTCATTATGAGTAATAGGAAGTGGTTAATAATAGTTATATTATTTACTGATTATCTGTTATGTAGTCGGCTCTGTGTAAGAACAGAGACAGGGTTTATATAATAAATTTTCTTTTGAGTTAGTATCACTCATGTTTTGTAATACACTTATTAAGGCATTGTGAATTCTATTGTACTATGTGTTCTTAAATGTTTTCCTTGAAGTCTGGTTTCTTTCCTTTTCTTAGGTGGTCCTTCTGTGAAAGTGAGGCTCCATTTAAAGTCTGAGCAATGTGCTACCTTGCTAAAAGATGTTCTGTTGAAAGGGAACCTCAAGCTTTTATTTTTTAGAAAAACATGTATTGATACACTTTAGATATACATAATGGTAACATTCATCAGAGAGCGTTTGTACCAGCATATGATATATATCCGCCCCCCCGTCTTCCTCCTTTATGTACAAAAGCTTTGTTTCTGTTTTTCCTCAATTTTTTTCTTATCCCTTCTTTCCATTCCCCCTTCCCCTTCCCTTGTTCCCCCTTTCCTTTGAACATTTTCTTCCCACTTCCCAGTGGCTGTTGTACATTTTAGTCCTTGATTTCACTTTTAGCTTCTCACACAAGAGAAACAGTGTGGTATTCAGGCATATGTTCAATTTATTTCACTTGAGTAGGGTCTCAAGGTGCATCCATTTAGCTATAAATGTCTCACACTCATCCTTTATGGCATAGTAGTACTCCATTGTATTTTTAAAAAAACACATCTTCTTTATCCATTTGTCAAAAGCCCATGCTTTCAATAGATGACTATGGTGATAAAATTTTGGGGGAAACTTTTGAAGTTAAATTTGCTCTTTTGGCTCTAATGGGGATTTATACATAGTTGATGATCCCTAACTTGAAAATCCAAAGCTGAAGGGCTTTCAGATAATGGAACTTTTGAATGCCGACCTGATGCTCAGAAAATTTCAGATTTCAGATATTTGGATCAGGAATTTATACCTAAAATGTCTGTGGACATTCCAAAGTCTGAAACATCGGTCCCAGACATTTCAAATAAGGGGTACTCAACTTGTATGTACATAAACATTGAGTGCCAGTATTATGTAATATAACTCCCTCTTATGTACATAAACATGCATTTATGGATGCTAGTATTGTATTGTGTTTATTAATTAATTTATTATTGCTTCTCAGTGAAGAACTGAAAGTCATGTCTGGCATCAAGCGAACCATCAAAGAAACCGACCCCGACTACGAGGATGTATCTGTGGCCCTTCCAAATAAGCGGCATAAGGCAATTGAGAATTCAGGTAGAATTTGCCTCCACTCTTTAAGATTTATAGAAAATAGAATGAATTTCCTCCTGCCTCAGCCTCCTGACTGCTGGGATTACATTCACATGCCACCATGCCCGGCTGGCTGGCCGTCTTTCTTGACTTCAGTATTTGAATGGCACAGCTGGTTGTTTTGTAGAATGTCATTCATAGTGGGCTTGTCTGATGTTCTATTATGAGCGGTGCAGTACTAGGGATGAACCCAGGGCCTAACACACACTAGGTAAGTACTCTGCCACTGGCCTACATCCCCACCTGCGCCCCCCCCCGATTTCTGTTGTGTTGTTTTGTGACGAGACAGGATCTCACTCCATTACCAGGCTGACCTCAAACTCGAGATCCTTCTCTCTCAGCCTCCCATGTAGCTGGGATTATGAGCATGCACCACCATCACTATGCATCGGCAGTTTTGGCAAGAATATCGGTGATAGGGCCAGGGATGTAGCTTAGCAACACAACACCTGCCTGGCAAGCTCAAGGCCCTGAATTTGATTCCCAGTACCAAAAAAAAGAATACCAGTGATGTAGTGGTCTTAGTGCATCGTGTCAGAAAGTGCATGAAGTCAGCTTGTCCCAATATTAGTGATTTAAACTTCCATTGCTTGGTTGAAGGCTTGTCTACTAGGTTCTCCACTTCATAGTTATTATTTCTAAGGTTTCTTTTGTTTCTTCATTTAAATCAGGACTGCCACTGATTAATTAGGCCTTGGTGTCTTGTGTTCTTTGTGTAGCTCGAGATGCTGCTGTGCAGAAGATTGAGACTATCATCAAAGAACAGTTTGCTCTTGAAATGAAGAATAAGGAGCATGAGATTGAAGTCATTGATCAGGTATAATGATAATGCATCGAGAAAGCGCCAGAGCTACGTGCAAAAGCAAAAATAGCTTTTCAGGGAAAAATACTATTTTTGGGAAAAAAGAAAAATTTTACCTTAGATTCCATCCCCAAAGAGAGCCTCTCTGGTCTTGTGCTCAGTATCTTTGTGGGTATGTCTGATGAATCAAATATACTTTTTTTGTTGCTGTTTTGGATTTTGAGACAGAATCTCCCTGTTGTATAATCGTAGCCGGCCTTGAACTCGTGGCAGTGTGTACTTTCATACCTTGAATCACATTTTTGTCTTTTAAATCTTTGCCAGTCTGATAGGTCAGAAAAGTCATTTTTCCTTTGCTTTTCTTTGTTAGAGAAGTTGATCTTTTTTTCCTCATTTGCATTTCTTACTTTGTGAATTGTATATCTCTCTTGCAATTGCTGTATTTTAAAGTAATGAGTTAATACTTGTTTTAAGCGGCTGATCGAAGCTCGGAGGATGATGGATAAACTTCGGGCGTGCATTGTAGCAAATTACTACGCTTCTGCAGGTCTTCTGAAAGTGTCTGAGGTAAGTATTCCCTGTGGTCTTCGTTTTCCAGCTGCCATATTTGTATGAGTTGGGACGTTTCATCAGTGTGGAAACTGGGTTCTTATATTGACCTTTAACTTAGACTTCAGTAAGCCTGGTCTGCCCTTCTCGGAGAATACGTCATTTTGTCCAGTTGTAGTCCTGTGTTCATTTCTCTGCTTGTCCATAATCCTGTGTAACATTTTCTTTGTTCTCTTAATCCGTTTGCTCCTGATTGTTAGCACTGTGCCTGGCCGTGAGGGTACAGAGACCTAGTGAGGCTTTGCTGGGACTTTCCCGCCCCTCCTCCTCGCAGGCTGCGTTCTGCTTTGGGAACGTGATAGACCTTACCTTTCCCCTGTTACTCCAGTGATGGCAGTGTTTGGTTTTTCAGATTTACCTTGTTCTGAAAGCCTTGCACTTTCTATGACAGATTTCAGATATACAGAAAAGGGTAAATAAGCACCTGTTTGTGTATCACTTAGATTTAGCAGTTTTAACATTTTGCCATATTTTCTCTGAAACATTTGTAAGGAACTTCAGGCATCATTACATTTCAACTGTAATTATTTAAGCATGCATTTTTTAAAAGATATTCTTCTTTGTAGTAATAATAACCACACAAAGGATTTCCTATTTGATGACCAGTCCAGACTCAGGTTTTCCTAGTTTGCCCCCAAAATCTTTTTAGCTGGTTTTTTTTTTTTCTTAGACTAGGATCCATCCATCAAGGTTTATGGCTTATATTTAGTAATTTGTTTGTTTCTGGCACTGGGGATTGAATCCAGGGCTTTCAAACTGAGCTATATCCCCAGTCCTTTTTATTTATTTTGTTTTATTTTATTAATTTATTTCTTTTTCTTTTTCTGTTTGTGTTTCTTTTTCTTTTTCTTTTTTTTTTTGGTTTTTTGAGACAGGGTCTCACTATGTAGTTGAGACTGACCTGGAACTCACTATGTAGCTCAGGCTGGTCTCGAACTCACAGCGATCCTCCTACCTCAACCTCCCGAGTGCTGGGATTACAGGCGTGCCACCACGCCCAGCCACTAATTTCTTTTTTTTTAGATAGGGTCTTGCTTTGTAGTTCTGGCTGGCCCAGAACTCACTATATAGCCCATGCTAGACTTGAACTTTGAGGAATCCTCCTGCTGCTGCCTCCTCAGTGCTAGAATTACAGGTGTGCACAACCATGCCTAGCAGTCCTTTTTATTCGTTCATTTATTTATTTATTTCTTGGTACCAGGGATCGAACTTGGGCCCTTGCACTTTTAAGGCAGGCGGCGGAACCAATGAGCCAAATCCCCGGCCTTGTCCTTTTTATTTTTTGAGACAGGGTCACTCTAAATCACTTGTCCAGGTAGAAACTTGTCCAGGTAGTTGTCCAGGGTTGGAACAAATAACTTATCTTGCTATCTTCCTGCCTCAGCCTCCCATAATGCACATTAGAATCTCTGTTCATTTCCTAGGGGTCTTACAACAAATGACCACAAATTTGGTGGCTTAAAACAACAGGGATTTATAACCTCACAGCTCTGGAGGCTAGAAGTCTAAAATAAAGGCAGCGTTTGCTCTGAAGGCTCTGGAGAATGAGAATCCTCTTACCTTTTACTAGCTGCTGTGTGGCTGGGACTTTTGCCTCTTACTTCACATGGATATTTTCTTTCTGTGTGTCTTTTCTGAATCTTTACTTGCCCTCTTTTAAGGATGTCTAGGATTAAGGTTTGCTACTTACTGTCCAGTATGACTTCATTTTAACTTGATTACATCTGTAAATACCCTCCTCACCCCCAGGCTGGATATTGAACCCAAGACCTTAAGCATCTCAGCCCATGCTCTACCACTCAGCAACCCCATGCCCTTCACCTACTTTTTGCTTGCTTGCTTGTTTGTTTTTGTACCAGAGATCTGAACTCAGTGCCTTGTGCTTGTGAGGCAGACGTCAGCATGACCTTCTTCTGAATAAAGTCATTTTCATAGATTCTGGGTGGGCGTGAATTTTAGAAGGACATCGTTCAACCCAAGACAGATTCTGATGTTTTTTTATGTAGCTCAATATTGGGTTCAGGAGGATGGACTTCGAGGGCTAGCATTTGCATGATGTGAGATGAATTGTAGGCACCTAGTCTGTTTGAAGAGCTCTGTATTCATCGAATGTCTTGTTGCTGTGCCATTAGCAATTCTGATCTGTGCTGGGTTTTTGGTTTTTTTTTGAGACAGGGTCTTACTATGTGTTTGAGACTGACCTGACCTGAAACTCACTGTGTAGCCCAGGCTGGTCTCGAACTCTCAGTGATCCTCCTGCCTAGCCTCCCGAGTGCTGGGATTACAGGCGTGTGCCACTACGCCCGGCCTCTGATCTGTGCATCTGTGCTGTTTGATGGCTAGAAATGTACTGGTTTTATCCTGCTCTGTTCTGATTAGGATTTATTCAGGAGTATCTAGGTACGCTCTTCTGTTATGATAGCTATTTTTAGCTTGCAGTAACAAAATATTTATAGCTCTGAGAAACCTTTATTATTGAAAGTTAAGAACTTTGTTGCTTTTAAACACCAATCTTTGGGTCCTTTTCACTAAAACAGTTTTGATACCGTTTTTTAAAAAATTATTAACATACTTTTAAAAGCTAGACTTCCTAGGAACATAACTACAGTGTATGACATTAAAATGGACACATGATATTTTGGCTGAAAGTAACAGATACAAAAAAATGCTCTAGGCTTCTGTACTAGATTGAGGGTAAACTTTGTACATTCGTATTAATGATTTTAAAGCATTTACTGTTATATTTTACTCCTTTTGTGGGGGCCATGTTTTATACACATAATGGAGAATCTTTTAGAGACCAAGTACCCAAACTGCAGCTTAAAACCACTCACTTACCTATCACAAAGTGCCAACAGTACAATTAAACCTGAATATTGAGGTGTTATTTTTGTTTTGGTACTGGGGATTGAACTTGGGACCTTGCACTTGCAAGGCAGGCATTGAAGTTTTAGTTTAAAAAAAAAAAACTCACCTTGGTTCTCGTGCTGACAGACAAGGCTCCGTGTTCCTGCTGTGGCACGTGTGCTGTAAGTTTACCACCACTGTTGTTTTGCTGCTGCTGCTACTGCTGCTGGTGCAGATTATAAGAATTTGAATTTCTGTTTTTCTTTGTTTGTTTTTGGTACTGGTGATCGAACTGGGGTCCTTGTACTTGCAAGGCAGGCAGTGGAACCACTGAGCTAAATCCCAGGCCCCAGGTTTGAATTTCATTTTATGGGTGTGGGAAGATTTTGAAGGGTTTTAAAATGATCCTGACATAGCTAAGTGTTTTGGAGAGATCGTTTTTGCCTGCTTTTGGTGAATTGGATTAAAGTTTGCTTGCTTTCTTTTTTTTCCTAGGGATCCAAGACATGTGATACCATGGTTTTTAACCATCCTGCTATCAAGAAATTTTTGGAATCACCATCTAGGTCATCATCTCCTATGAATCAGCGATCAGACACGCCATCAGCTAATTATTCAGAAAGTGATTCTTTATCACAGCACAATGACTTCTTATCTGACAAAGATAATAACAGCAATATGGATCTGGAGGAAAGACTCTCAAACAATGTGGAGCAGAAGCCAAGCCGGAACGCTGGAAGGGTAGAGTTGGTGGAGCGGGGAGGGAGCCATAGGAGAAGGGAACTAACATTTGTTTCATTTAACTTCACAGGTAATCTAGGAGGTAGGCTGTTTTCATTTTACAGCGATAAAACTGAGTCTTGATGAGTTAGAGTTGTATGTGTCTGAAGGTGTCCGAACTATCTCTGATTTTACAGCTTGGGGCTCCAGTGTGTGGACAGCTCCCAGCTATCACATGTGTGGGCACGAAGCCTTGGCGTTGGCAGTTCAGTGCTTGTCAGAGGCCTTCCCACTCGTGTTTATTCTTCCAGGGGACTCTTAAGCAGTTTCCTCTGTAAGACTTTATACTCTAAAATGCTGTCAGAGCTGGAGGAAATTTGACAGATAATAAAAATAATTTATAAAACCATTTATTAGCATTTGATTCTGCCTGCTGTTAACTTGAATTCCCTGCTCAGGCTGTTCTAAACTTGGTGTAGCATTTGGCTGTGGTGTTTTCATTGGGTTAGACCAGTGGCTTTTTCAGCCTGTTATTCTGGGATGGAGCACATTTCCGGGTTGCTTTCTATATACATAGACATCAAATATTTGATTGTCTTCCTTAAAAAGTTTTTTATTTTTCTGATTATAAATTCATATGTGTTCATTGTTAAAAACTGTAAAATACAAAAAGGCAAAAAAGAAAAAAATAACTTTCCTACAGTCATTCATAGTGCCAACAGTTATAAATAAGATCTGTCTTTTCTCAAGACAGGATCTTACTGTGTAGTGCAGGCTGGCCTCAAATTCATCATCCTCCTGCCTCAGCCTCCTCAGTGCTGGAATTACAGATGCACACCACCATGCCCAGCTAAAAAGTCAATTCTTAATGTTTGAATTTACTTTTGCCTTTCTAGAATTATTTCTCAGCAACTATTGTAAATGTTTTCCTTTTGTAAGAAAAACAATTTAGGTTATGCATACTAGTTGTAGGATTAGTATGTGGTAATTTATGTATATAACAAACATTTAGTACTTAACTGTGTACCCACACTTTCTAAAAACTATACAGAACAGTCAAAAAGTAGCTATTATTAACATATTAACACTATTTAAGGAAATTGAGGTAGAGAGAATCATTATCCAAGATTACACATTAGTCATGGAGGGCCAGGGTTTGAGTCCTGACAGTCATTTTATTTGTATTTCTTCTCATTGAAATTCTGTCTTAGTTTATTTTTTTGGTTTTTCGAGACAGGGTCTCACTATGTAGTTGAGACTGACCTGGAACTCACTGTGTAGCCCAGGTTGGTCTCAAACTCACAGCGATCCTCCTGCCTCAGTCTCCTGGGTGCTGGTATTACAGGCGTGCGCCACCACGCCAGGCTTGTCTTATTTTTTGAAACAGGGTGTTGCCATGTAGTTCAGGCTGGCCTTGAATTCATTGTATAGCGCAGTCTGGCTTTGAACTTGCAGTGATCCTCTTGTCTCAGCCTCCTGAGTGCTGGAATAAAAAATTTTTACTCCAAAAGATTGAAAAGAAAATTTCACTCAATCCTTTCCTCATTTCCATTTTCCAGAGATAACCAGTGTACAAATTTCTTGTGTGTCTTTGCATATATACAGCAGATGTATATGAATGTTAAAAACACATGAAATTTCAGTACACAGACTTTTTTTTTCTTTTTATTGAGTTTATTGGTACAATCTAGGTGTACAGTACAATTACATTCATCATTGGGATTCTGTACCTTTACATGACAGGTCTTGATTCTCATTTTTTCCCCTTGTCCCTGCCCTCCCTTCACCCTCTCCTCCCCTCCCCATTTACAAACACTTTCTTTCCATTTTTTCAGTTTCTCATGTTTTTTTCCTCTCCCTTATTACCTTTCCCCCACCCTTCCCACTTTCCCTACACCTTTAGCCCTTTACTTCCTATTTCACATTATTAATTATCTCATTAGGATCCTAGTACACAGACTTTTTATAAGCTAGTATGATACTTGTAGTAAATTAAGTTTTTATGCTTTAAGAGAGATACTCAAAAGCCAGAGAATTTTTCAATTAAAAAATTCTGAGTAATTCCATCCATAGCTTTCATGATTTTGTGGCTTCTCTTCTGTTGAAAATTGTTCAAAGTGGAAAATTAACTTAGGTTATGATTTCTTTCAGGACACTTCTAGTGTTGCTGGTTCCCATAAAACAGAACAGCGGAATGCTGATCTCACAGGAGACGAGACTTCACGACTTTTTGTGAAGAAAACTATTGTAGTAGGCAACGTGTCCAAGTGAGTATTGGGTGGATCGTCTCAATATCTGCTGTCCATTTATACTAAGACTTCGGCATTGACACATTCCCACCGGCCTGTGCCAGTGGACGGTTCAGAGCTGCCTGCAGTGAGACACGAATTACACCCCATCGTGAGCGTGTTAACACTCCTATCCTCGGGATGCTTTTTCCTCTTGGCTGTTTCAAAAGTAACCTGTGATCCGGAGACTTAGAGTAAAAATTCAGTTTGGTTTTTCACTGGGATAGTCACCTCCCTTCTGCCGCTGTCTTCAGTGGTTTCTGCCTTGCACACATCCATGAGTACCAGGGCTAATGGGAAGATGTTGGCTCCAGAATGTCCGCAGGAGGAGAGGCAGCACAGTCATTGCTTACATTTTCATGTGAAGTTTGTGAAAGATGTTACTAATGAGGGATGTCTTTGACATAGGAAAGAACCCTCAGGAATTCTAGATTACTCTTCCTAGAAATAATTCTGTTTATTTTTAGTTTTTATTATTTTGGGGTTTGGTTGGTAGATTGCTTTGTTTTGAAATAGAAGGATTTAACTGTGGTAGATTTCTTTGACTTTTTTCTCCCTTTGTTTTCAAAATCTAACCTAAGGTCCTTTTCAGTGACTCTGTCAGAAGGCCACGGGTTTGGCTCTTAAAAGTCATTGTGACCTGAGTACAGAGTAGATAAGGTCTCATTTGCAGTGGTCCATACATGTGAACTCTTCTCTTCTTACCCTAGTATCACAGTAAGAAGAGGCCACAGGGAATAGTTTTCCCAAACCTGTAATCATTTCAGAAGTAAACTAAGATCCAAAGACTTTTAGTACATCTGCCATTCTTTGACTTAGATAAAATTGTACATGGCAAAGATTTCTGAGACATGAGCTCTTATGTATTGCATCAGAGCTGTACGTTTGGAGGAACTTTCAACTTCTAACCTAGTTCTATTCTCAGGGCCTTAGCTAATTCCTAAAAATGTTGATTTACCTGCTCAAACAAATGTTTTAAAGGTGAAACAGAAGCTTGCAAAGCAGGTCTTAAAGACAGAGTTCCTCCAAGACAAAGAGCTGTCCTGTTAACAGTGTGATCTCGTGCTGGCCTGTGGGAGGATCTTCATTTTTGTCACATGTCTAGGTTTGGGTATTATAATTGGAATGTTACACTATTTAAATATTTTGTGTGGATACAGATTAAAGTTGTTGGAAAAAAGTAGGTTGTAGTGGCCAAGATTTTAAACAGTAGTAGTTTTAACTAATTTTCTTATGAAGTTTTATTTATAGATTCTTTCATTAGGTAAGTTTTTTCTGTATTCTTGTCTTTGTCATTTTTATATTGCTTCCTATTTTCATACTTTTTTTCCTAGAATCTCTTTAGGGAAGGAAGTAGGTATTGTTTTGACCTTATACTATTAGATGTTTTAGTAAACATTTGATTGACAAATTGATACAGATATGAAAATTGTGTTTAACTTCAATTATTGAAAATAAAAGGTTTGAGAGTACAGTAAAGTTGCAGGGAAATCAAAGAAAAATACAGACAAAATTTCCAAGCCTTACTTAATGGGCCACTAATAAACAGTAAGAAAATACATTAAAATCTCAGGACAGGTGGGTGTGTAGCTCAGTGGTAATGTGCTTACTTAGCATGGGTAAGGACCTGGGCTCAATTCCCATCACACCCCAACCCCAAAAGAAAAAGCACTCAGGACAGTAAGGCAGAGATTTGTAATCTAATAGAAACTAGAAAGCCAATATAAGATTAAAGCATTTAGTCAGATATCTGCTTTATAGATTATTTTTTTTCCTGGTAACGGGCATTGAACTTGGGACCTTGCACTTGCCAGGTAGGTGTGGCGCTACCACACTACATCCCTGGCCCCTACAGGTTGTTTTTGAGTTAGCACACATTCCACTAATAGTCCACATGAAGTTTCAGGCATGTAAGGTGTAGCACCAGGCAGGTCAGCCCAGAAGGGCCATGCCTGAAGTTCATGTAGAACCACCAGGCCACAAGAAGCTAGGGGATAGTCATTCGTGTTTTTCAAGTCATTATGTTTAGTATGTAGCTTTTTAGTTTTGTGTTTAAATTTTAAAAAGCTGCGGGCTAGGGATTTAGCTCAGTGGTTCTGCCGCCTGCCTTGTAAGCACAATGACCCGAGTTTGATCCACAGTACCAAAAAAAAAAATTAAAATGCTGCAACTAACATACTCATTAACCATGGATCTTAAGTAGCAGGAATGGTTGGCATAAGAATACTTTAATATTTTTGAAAGATTAAAAATACTGTTTGGTTTTAGATTTTGCTAAAGGTGTTAATATCTAAAATAACCTTAAAAGTATAAACATAGAAATTTAAACTTATTAAAAAATACAGGGCCAGCTCAGCAGTTCGGTGGCCTGCCTTGCAAGCTCAAGGACCCGAGTTCAATCCCTGGTACCAAAAAAAAAAAGCAGTGGTTCCACCACCTGCGTTGCAAGCACAAGGACCTGAGTTCGATCCCCAGTACCCAAAAAAAATACAAAAACAGAAAAGAAGTTTAAATTTTCAAGCTAATAAGAGAAATTGAAATTGAAATTGAAAGAGGAGAAAACCCTAATTTCAGAAGGTAGTTGAGGGTTGAAGGAAGAAGAGAAAAAAAACAAGTGGTAATAAGGGATTTAATAACATCTTAACTGTGTCAAAAAGGCACATGGGTTTAACTAGTGAAAAGATAGAAATTGTTAGATTGAGCTAAGATTCAGCTCTCTGTTTACCAGAGACACATCTGCATCTACAAGGATTAGCCAGGCACAGCGCTTGTGCCTACAGCCCCAGGTACTCGGAAGGACGAGACAGGATTGCTTGAAGCCAAGACTTCAGGGCTAGCCTGGGCAATTTAGTGAGACGCTGAAGAAATAAAATAGAAACAGATTTGAGAGTCAGTAAAGAGGAAAAGATAAACCTGCCACCTAGCAAACCAGAGAATACCAGTGTGAATAACATGAATAATGGCACAACAGGCTAAAACCATTGATGGAGGTAGAGAGAGTTACTGCACAGTGATAAAAGTTTCTGTTCACTAAGAAAAAGGACTTGTCTGAACATGGTGGCACACACCTGTAACTGGCACTCTGGCAGCCTGAGGCTGGAGGGTCACAGGTTTTATCCTACCAGCCTGGGCAGCTTAGTGACATAGCAAAACCCTATTTTTCAAAATGAAAAAGGGCTGGAGATATAGCTCAGTGCAGAGACCTTGAAGTTCAGTTCCTAGTACCCCTTCCCCCCAAAAAGGTAAAAATTCTATTCTGTTTACCTGATAATGCAGTTTTTAAATGTCTGAACCATAGCCACGCATGGTGGTGCATGCCTGTAATCCCAGCTCCCAGTACTTGGGAGGCTGAGGCAGGAAAGATCAAAACTTTATTTAATGCCACCCTGGGCTACACAGACCCTACTTCAAAAACAAAAGTAAAACCAGAACCACAGGAAAAATTGTCGAATGGATCTGATGTGCATGTATGAAGTGTTACACATGTAAATAAACTTTATACAAGAGACATTTGTAGAAATGACTGCACAGTAGACAATAAAAAAACCTCAGCAACATCAAAGGATTGTATCATACAAACTTTCTGATCACAGTGCACTAAAGTTAAAAATCAGTGCTAAGAGGATACCTTGAAACTTTTTATATGTCTAGAAACTCAGAACTCTCTCAGATAGGGCTGGGAATGTAGTTCAGTGGCACAGCACCTGCCTGGCAATCACAAGGTCCTGAATTCAATCCCCTGTACCCCCCCCCAAAAAAAAACACTTCCAAACAACTCACAAGTCAGTTAAAAAAAAAAAGTCACATTAAAATAAAACATACAGAATAGCTCCAGAGGATACCTGGAGGGAAAATTATAGTCTTAATGGTTTCAATAGAAGAAAAATTTAAATTTCATTTAAGCCTCTCACTTAACTAGACAAAATAATACATCAAAGAAGCAATAAGAAATTAGAAAAAATAAATGTACCATATATACATTGATAAAATTAAAGAGAAAGCACAAATAGATGTTGGAAATGAAAAAGAAAGATAAATCTAGAGATGCTGCTCTATTATTAGAGATAAGCACATGCTTAGCATGCACAAGGCTCTTTTAAGAGAAAGGCTCTGTCTGCAGCTTTTAAGAAAAAAACAAATAGACAAGCTATTATGAAATTCAAAATACAAAAATTAACCTTAATCAGAATGACTCAGTAAGGGGAAAACCTAGAGTACGCTTAGAATCACTGTGAATATGCTTAATCATTAAGTTTTAGGTATTCTCACCTCACAAGCAATCCACCAGAGCTAGATTGCTTTCCAGGCTGAATGAATAGAATTCCAGTTGTCTATGAAATCTTCTGGAGAAAAGAGACAACGCTTGTTACCTCATAAGGGGAGTTTTACTTGGCTAGTGAAACCAAACAGAGAGTTGATAAGAAAGAAGAAATTATAGGACATTCTTTTTTTTTTCTTTTTCTTTTTATTTATTTATTTATTTTTGGTACCAGGGATTAAACTCAGGACCTTGTGCTTGCAAGGTAGGTGGCGGAACCTCTGAGCTAAATCCCCAGCCCAGACATTCATATTTATAAATGTAAAAATACTGAACAGAGCAATTAAACTGAATTCGATAACTTTATAGAAATGATAATACCTCATAACCAAAAAATGTAAATTTAAACTAACAGAAAATTGGTAAATTTAACTAACACATTAATAGATGAAAGGAAGAGGAACACAATTACCACAGAAGATGCAGAAACATTTGCTAAACTTGGCATCCATTTATGGTCTTTTCTCTTGGTAAATCTGGAATTTAGTTAACTCAATTTTTTTTTTTAAACGCCTATAGTCAATATAGTCAGTGGTAAATTACTAAAAGGTTTTTCTTTGGGATCAGGAATAAGAGGAGATGCCTGGTGATGTTACTGTTCAACATTGCACTTGGAGATACTAATGTAGCCAGTGTTTTGTTTTGTTTTGAGTATAACGATCAGAAAGGATCCCAGCAGGTGGCCCATCTGTAATCCCAATACTCAGGGAAGCTGAGGTAGGAGGATTCCAAGTTTGAGCCCTGCCTGGACAATTTAGTGAGAACTACTCTCAAAAACTGAAAAAAGGACTAAGGGATGGAACTCAGTGCAAAGACCCTGATTTCAATCCCCAATAATGGAAAAAAAATTGAAAAGAGGATGAAGGATTTTTTTTTTTTTATATTGGGGATCAAACTCAGGACCTTGCATTTGTGAGGCAGGTGGCGGCACCACTGAGCTAAATCCCTGGCAGAAATTAAAAAAAAAAAATAATGCCATTGACATTTGTTGGTGTGACTCATAGATTGATTATATGATTGTGTAGAAAAATGGAAAGCAGTTACTGATTTTATGTTTAACCAGTGAGTAAGACCATTGAATACTGAAGAATATCAATATGTAGAAGTCAGTTGTTTCTATGTGAGTGACAGCCACACATTTAGAAGACATTTCAAAAGGTACATTTACTTTAGCAGTAATAATATAATAAATCAAAAGATATTAACCAGAAAAAAAGATGTTAGCCCTTCATGAAGACTTATAAAAATTTTGTTGACAGCATTAAAGAACTAATTAGAACCACATTGTCAGTTGTTTCTGTGACACCCTACATATTTAGAAAAAATGATATTTCAAAAGATATTTAGCATTAAAAATATACTTATTAAGGGCTGGGGATTTGGCTCAGTGGTTCCTCCACCTGCCTTCCAAGCACAAGAACCCCAGTTCAATCTCCGGTAACAAAAAGAAAAAAATCACAAAATATTCTTATTAAATAATTAGGTAAATATGTCAAGTTCAAAAATTTTTTTTTTTTAAAAAAGGTATGACATGGCAACACATCTGTAATCCCAGCATTCAGGAGACTGAGGCAGGAGGATCACTGGCCTCATTTGAGACTAGCCTGGGCTACGTACATATTGAGTTCCAGGGCAGTCTGAACTACATAGTGAAATCCTATCTCAAAAAAAAAAAAAAAGAAAGAGAGAGAGAGAGAGAGAAAAGGCATGACAGGTTCATGAACAGGAAGGAGAAGTATTGTAGTTCTCAAATTGCTTCATAGATAATCCCATTAAAGGTCCAACAAGCTTTTTGAAATTCACAGACTGGTTCTTTTTGGATTTTTTTTGAGACAGGTTCTCGTATCACCCAGGTTGGCATTAAACTCACTGTGTACCCCAGGCTGGCCACACACTCTGAATTCCTCTGCCTCCCAGGTGCTGGGATTACAGGGATGCATCTCCTCTCCCAGCTTGCTGGATCTCATACATGGAAGAGCAGAGTGCTGGGACTGGACAAGGCCACTCCTGAAGGACTAGGTTAGGCACCGTGGCCTCCTGCATTGCTAAGGGGGACTACAGGCATAGGTGAGCATGTGGAGGACCGTGACCATAGTTCCCCCAACACCTGAAAAGGAAGCCTCAGAGGGCAAGAAGCCAGGTACAGCTGTGTGGGCAGCACCACAAGGACCTGGTATTTTACCCTGCTGAGACCTGAATGAAATCAACCCTAAGACTACAGGCTCTGTAACCCAGGAAAAAAAATATGCCTATTATTTTCACCTCATATACCTACTTGACAGGAAAAACAAGTTTGATATATATTTTTTTTAATCTTAGGCTAATGATCAGAAAACAAACTTGAATAATGCCTCTTAAACAAAAAATTTTTTTTGTTTAAAGAAAATATGAAATGATTAGTTACAAAGACTGTTTTATTTGTTGATTTTGTTTTTGAGACAGGGTCTCACTGTGTAGTTCAGGCTGGCCTCAAACTCACAGCGATCCTCCCGCCTTGGCCTTCTGAGTGCTGGGATTACTAGTGTGCACCACCCTGCCTGACTTCTTTGTTTGGTTAGGTGATATTGCCGTCAAATATTGCTAGAATTTTAATCTCTTTTTAAGTAGGAATTTATTATTGTTAGATTTTTGAAGGAAAAATTCAAGTTCCTGTCTTGTTTTTTTCCTCCTCAGGTACATACCACCAGATAAGAGAGAAGAAAATGACCAATCGACCCATAAGTGGATGGTGTATGTGCGAGGGTCTCGTAGAGAACCCAGCATTAATCATTTTGTCAAAAAAGTGTGGTTCTTCCTTCATCCCAGCTATAAACCAAACGACCTTGTTGAAGTTAGGTGAGCACAATTGAGCTACACAACTAAGAAGTACAGTTATTGACTGATGTGTGAGAAAGCAATTTAACTTCAGAACATTCCATGGAAATTTTGAATTATTAATAATTCACTTGGCGTTGGCTCTTAGTCACAGTGTGGCTGGTGCTGTGCTTTCCTCTTGCACATTCCAGGCTCCCCGAGCAGGCACTGTCACTTTCTGTCAGGTTTGTTACCATACTGATTATTTTAGCTGATTGCTCCCCACTGTAAATACCTAAATTGGATTATATAGAGATGCATCTAAAATTCTGCTGTTTTTTACATGTAACAGAATTCATAGAGAATTTTGACTTTCCAGAAATATTTGATGTCGAAAGTCTCCCATAATCTCTCCCCATCAGCATTGCCCCCAGTGATGCTTTTCCTGTGCACATACTGATCTCCCATAGCTCTTACTTCACAAAGGGCTGATCATATGTGTATGACTGTGGCGTTGGCTTGTACCATGCAGCTGTACCCTTTACATCTCTGTGTGGTGTCACCAAATACCCTGTCCTTGAATGTGCTGTGAATCCTCAGTGAAATCTCCTGTGCCATCTGCTCTGCTGAACGTTCCTTCACTCCTGGCTCTTGGACCAATCGTAGCTGTCTCTGGGAATGCTTTTCAGGTGGGGACTGTTCTGTCTCCTCACACCTGTACCACTGGGTCTAGGAAAAGAGTAGGCGTCTTGTCACATTTGTGGTTTCCAGTCCACCTTGCTCCCTTCTTCCTAACAAAACCTCAGTCCTGGGAAAGCCCTGCTGTTCCTTTCTTGCAATTATCCACTAATTCCCTCTTTCGAAAACGGCTTTAGTGCCTGGTTTTTGTTGTCTCCACCAGTGGTAGTGTTTTCTTCAGTCTGACAGACTTTGACATCCATACAGGCTATTCACGCCATACTGTGCTCTCTTGTTTCGTTGACTTTCTCACATTAATGAGTAGGTCATTTCTGTGATAGACTTTAGACTTTAAGCTGAGGAAAAAAGAGCAGAGATGGATAGTGAAACTTTATGTGGCAAGTATTGCAAGTCCCAGGAGCACCCAAGGAATGGAACTGAAAAAGTTGGTGGCTATAAAGTGGAACCCTTGGGAATGAGATTGGTTTGGTTTTGTTTATTTGTTTTTTCTGGTTTTTTGAGACAGGATCTCACTGTATAGTTCAGAATGTCCTGGAACTCACTATGTAGCCCAGGCTGCTCTGATCTCGAACTCACAGTGATCCTCCTGCCTCAGCCTCCAGAGTGCTGGGATTACAGGCGTGCACCACCACGCCCAGCTTTGGTTTGGTTTTTTGAGACAGAGTCTTGCTGCTATGTAGTTCAGGCTGGCCTAGAACTCCTGGCAGTCTTCTTGCTTTAGCCTTCCAAGTGCTGGGATTAGAGACATGCACTACCACACTCAGCTTGGAAATGAAGTTTTTATAGCATCCAGTATGTGTATCATCATATGGATCATAGTTATTTCAACTAGTAACTGATCTGTTTTCTCTATATCTAATACACGCTAAATTTGCACATAGATACAGCTTTGGTTCTAGACTCAGTTAATATTTATTTCCTATAACAGGATTGCACTATTTTACTTATTTTGCCTTATAGCACATTCTGTATTTCATAGTGTATAATCTTGTTATTATTCTTTTAAAAAATTGTTTTGGCTCATTCCCAAGTATATGTGTTTGTTCAGATTACTTTTGAATCATATTGTCTATTTACAGATTAGAATTGCACTGAATTAATACCTATAACACAGACACACACAGACACACACACAGACACACACACACACACACACACACACCCCTCCCACCCTGATCCTGGGAATTGAACCCAGGGCCCCACATTGAATTATCTTCCCAGCCCTTTTAAAAGATAGTTTATTTTGAAACACAGGTTCACTCAGTTCTGAAGACTGTTTAAATTTGTAGTTCTCCTGCCTCAGCCTTCTAGAGTGCTAGGATTACAGGTGTGTACCACCATCTCCAGCTTATCACTCACTCACTTATTGATTGATTGATTGATTGATCGAGTAATTGATTTTAGTTTTTGAGACAGTGTCTGTTAGTTCAGTCTGGCTTTGAACTCGCTATGTATCCCAGGCTGGCCTCGAATTTGCAGTAATCCTCCTGCCTGAACATCCCCAGTGCTTGGATTACAGGCATGTGCCACCACACCTGGCTAGTATCATTTTTTTAAAATGATAAAAATTTTTTTCTTTTGTCTACACAAGAGAATGAATCAATATAATGATTTTACAATATAAATGTTTGTTTCCCTTTTATTACTTTTAAAATTTCCTTCATTTTCTTGACATTTCACTGGTTAGAGCCTAAAAAAAAAAGTTTATCTATTTCATTGCCTCATAAAGTTTAATTGAAAGCCATTCTGTGCTTTGAGGTAGATGTATATCCCTGGTGTCCAAATCCTTTTAGAAAGGGTCCTATGGGTCTGGGGGTTTAGCTCAGTGGTTCTGCCACCTGCTTTGCAAGCATGAGGTCCCGAGTTTGATCCCCGGGACCACAAAAAAAAAAGAAAAGAAAAGAAAGAAATGCTCTATAGATTTAGCACTCCCCTATCTAGAAGTGCCCCAGTGGCCTGAGATTGTCTTTTTGTCTGGAATACCATCCCCTCCTTGTTGTCTGCCCACATGCCCACATACACACCAGACCCAGCACACACCTGCCCCACAGTAGGGCTGTCTTTTCCCAAGACATAGGTCAGAAGTTACTTCTGCAGTGAATTCTTTCTTGTCCTATTTCTTCCACAGGTTAAATTGTAGTAAATGATTGTTTGCTTGAATGCTTGGGCTGTTAACAATATTTTATAATTTAACAGAAGCTTGAAGAGTGATAATATTTTCTAAATTTGAATATCATAAGTCCAAATGAATGTAGTATTTTAACAAAGATATTTTAGTGAGTTTAAGAAATGAACAAGTTGCTGGGCATGGTGGCGCACACCTGTAATCCCATCATTCGGGAGGCTGAGGCAGGAGGATCACTGTGAGTTCGAGACCAGCCTGGGCTACATAGTGAGTTCCAGGTCAGTCTCAACTACATAGTGAGACCCTGTCTCAAAAGACAAAAAAAGAGGGGGGAAGGGAGGGAGAGAGAGAGAGAGATTTTTAAAGTATTGTATGGGTTGTCTTGCCAGACATAATGCTGTACTTCTGTAATCTTAACACTCAGGAGGCTGAGGCAAGAGTATTGGAGTGAATTTGAGGCCGACCTAGCTACATATTGAGTTCAAGGCCAACCTAAACTACCTAGCAAGACCCAGTCTCAACAAATACAAGACAAAAAAGAAAGAAAAAGCACTACCTATAAAAATGTAAAGTAATATATTTTTCCATTTTCAGATCAATAAGAAATGTCCTTATATGTCAAAACTTAAGTTTGTTGTCCTAAGAAAACATACTATTTAATATGAATAATATGAGTCAGTTAAAATGTGTTAAGCAGGCCAGGAATGTAGCTCAGTGATGCCATTGCCTGCCTCACCTGGACCAAAAATAAAGTATTAAGCATATTTTAAAATGTTTTAAATGAATTTTTTGTTGTTGTTTTTTGAGGCAGTCTTGCTTTGTAGCCTGGGCTGGCCTCCTGCTTTAGCCTCCCAAATGCTGGGGTCACAGGCATGTGCTACCTACCACACCCAGCTTTTAAACATATCGTTTATTGATAAACTTCTGTTTTACAAAAAGTGGGATGAAAAACATTACATAAAACTCTTAACACTTACTAATACAAACTAATGCCTGTTTTATTTCTCCATTCTCGAACCAAGAATTACAGTTTGTAAAACATTCCATTTCCTTAACATTACAATAAAAAGTCATGCAGTATTGTATCAGATTGTATTTACTGAGAAATCTTACTGAACCACAGAGAAAGGGTTGGCAAATTTTATAGAGCCAAGCATGGTAGCGCACACCTGTCATTGCAGCCCTCGGGAGGCTGAGGCAGGAGGCTTGCCACAGGTTTAATGCTAGCCTGGACTACATGAGCTCAGGGCAAGCCTGCACTAGAAAGCAAGACACTGTCTCAAAAAAAGAAAACAAAAAACAAAACCCAAATCTGTTTGTGGAATATAGCAGTCTGAGGAAGTACAAGGAAAAGGTCAGCCCAAACTGAAACTTTTCACATTTCTTGCTGCTTTTATACCTCAGCAGTGTCCTCTGCTGATAGCATATGAACTTTATTTCATGAAATTTAGAGGGTATTATATCACTGAAATAGCTACTGGTAGTTATTTTCAGTCTAATCCTTTGTGCTCTGCCAGCACTGCCTAGATTGGCCCCTGTTACACACGTAACCAGTTGACGCTCGTAGCCTACCATTACTGTGTACCTTTCCCAAAGTGAGTCATAACTATTAGCACCAAAGTTATGACTTTCAAATATTTTAAAAGAGACCCTTGCTTGTATGTATCTTATTTTAAAACTGAGAAATCACTTGCTGTGTTATTTCAAGCGATATATATCATATAATACAGTTTATTAATTAGACTTTCTTGTGGTACTGTGGTACCTAGAAACTCGTGCAAGCACTTTTTTACCAAGGTACATTCCTGGCTTTTTCTGTTTTGTTTTGAGACATGGTATGAGCAAATTGACAGGCTGGCCTTGAACTTGGAATCCTGCTGCTTCACACGCCTGAGTAGCTGAGATTGAAGGCATGTGCAGCCATCCCCAGCTACTACACTTAATGTTTTACATGTGTGTCTCTTTTAATAGACCTTGACTTCTTGGTGCTTAGGGTCTTGTTTTGTCTCAGTATCCCCCAGGGTCTAGCGTTGTTTGTGGCATCAAGTAAATGTTTATTTCATGGTCTTGATGCTGAATAAATTATTTAATTTCATGAAACAGGCCATTCCATTGTAGGTGATCCTGTGTTTGTCAGCAAGTTTTTAATTAAATTGAGCAGAGATCAAACTTCCTCTTGCAGTAACCTCTCCTATGCGTGTGACACAACCAAGAATTATTATAATACCTTTTGCATGTAATGGCTGTTTAGACATTTGAAAGCAGCTGTCGGGTCTTCTTGTCTCCCAAATAAATATCTATAAATGTTTCAGTTGTTGCTCATCTGACTTCTGTTCCTTTGCTATTTGGGCTATATAATCTTCCAGTTACTGTATTCCTCTTTATGTGCTGCCACAGCGAGCACTGTATTCCTCTTAAAAGCTTCTTCTTAGAATTGAACTTAGTACTCCTGATATGGTGTGGCCATTATAAAGTAGGATAGAACCATTAACTTGTGACCTAGATTTAATTAGAACTCTTCATGTTCTTTACAGGACTCCAAAGCTATTTCCTGTGTTAAACGTCAAAATTAATTTGATGAATAGGAGAGGGCTGTTGCAGTAGCCTTCAAACTTGAGGTTAATCTTACTTTTGGATCATAGCACAAGTGTTTTTCTCATGCACTTTGAATCTTCTCATCACATCACATTATCTGATGAAGAACCTGGGTGGATTCTACATAAAAGCCTCTTGTACATATGTGGTTTAGTTGTCATGACCACCCTTAGCCAACTTCCTAAAAGCTGTGGTTGCAAATTTTGCTTTTAGGCACAAGACAAGTCACTAAATATGTGCTAGATTCAGGGCTTGATGTAGGGATTGCATAGATGAAGAACACAAGGTCCCTGGGCATTTGAGAAGTTTAATGGGGTCCTCTTGGCCTTGCATGTGAGGTTAGAGTAACCTAGGTTCCCAGATAACATGCTATGACTCTCTGGAATATGTGTGTCTGTTTTCATTTAGCTCAAATGTAGGAAATCTAGAGCGGCACTGTCCAATAAAAATGTGTTCTAATCCACATGTGTAATTTTAAATTTTCTAAAAACTAGAAAGCAAAAACTAGTGTAGCAGATATCCCTGCCCAGTACTAGTGGGCTATGAGTGGAAACTGCTTCTTGCTTTCCATAACTCAGCTGTATTGTCTTATGTCAGTAGTCAGACTGAAGCTCTGTGTGACTCAAGTGAGCATGTCAGATGGTGGACTGGGCGTGTATAACCCCTTCCCCAGTGGCTGCCACAGAAACCTAGGCCCTGATCTGTGAAGTGGCAGGAATTTGCAGAGTTAAGTGCAGCTGAGGTCAGTGTGACTCTAATTAAAATCCTTTCCCCTGAATTATGACTTCTCCGTGGGTTGCTTGCTAAATGCACCTGGTCCCAAGCAAGATAAGCAGCACTTACTCCCTAACAGCCCTGCCTGGCACCATCGTGCCAGATGTTCAGCATGTTTCACTTCAAATCATATGTGGCTCCCTAATCCTTCCCACGATTGTATTGGATAAATACTGGATGCGCTTGGGGGACTTTGTCTTTGCTGCCTAAAGCAGCACTGATCAGGTCCCAAGACCCAGCTTCTTTACTCAGTTTCCTGTCTTTATTCTTTAATTTGCCTTGTGCTCAGAGGAGGCCAGGACCCACTGTAGAGGTTCTGGCAATGTCCTCTTCTCCGTTCCCTATAACTGAGTATCATAATGCAGTTTTAGGCTGCTTTACTAGACATCAGATAGACATGCTGTGTCCTGCACCAGTTGGGCCATAGCAGGCTACACTGCATAGGAAGGAGGGTGGTCTGTGTAGTGAGATCTGCTGTCCCTGGGACCTGGGCTGGCCCTAGTGTTGAAAACATGGCACCTGCAGCCTGTTTGGGTTTGAATCTTGGTTGCACTACTTACTCTCTCGGCAAGTTCATTGTGCAACTTCACTGGATCTCAAAGGGTATATCATTCGGTGTGGTTGTAATGATTAGGGAAATTAATAGATCCATAGAATTTCAAACATTGTGTGGGTCAAGGAAACACTGTAAGTGCTGCTGTCATTGTGAGAAACAGGTGTTTATACTGAAAAGGCTTAGTGGAATGTTAGTTGGTCTTTCATTTGGAGAATATATTTTTTTGTGATTCCAAGTATTACATCTAGAACTGTCATACAGAAAGTAGAGGAAGTGTTTTTATAACAGCTATTCACAAATCTAATAGAAAATCTCAGTAAGTGGTGAATTCGGGTCACTACAAGTGATCTCGAAAGACTGGTTGGCCATTTGAATTAATGAGTTGAGGAAGTTGTATTCCATTCTCTCTTTAATATAGCTTTTATTTAAGCTCTCGGTTCTTGTGGTTTTTTCCTTCTTGGTCATTGATATATTTTGCCTTCTGTGAGGAATCTAGAAATGCAGAATTCTGTTCAGTTTGGGCAGAACATTTTTGTGTGCAATAACATCTTTTGATTTACAGAATTGCTTTTCTGTTGGTAGATTTCCTTTCTCCTTCCAAAAATACGGTTATGGAGAAATTGCCTGTTAAAAAGCATTGTTCCCGTTTCCTGGCTTTGTGCTATTTGTTTGTGTCCTTCTTGGCTGCAGTCCTTCCTGTCTGTTAGCCTGTGTACGTAAATTAGGAGCATATGTAATTTATTGGACGTATTGTGAGAGAAATTTAGCATGCAGAGAGTAAAATTGAGGCATATGATAAAGTGAGTTTAGATAATCCTTTTACCTTGGCTGGAATTTAAGAGACCAAACTTGCCATCTGTAGAATTTCCGTTAATTACTCTTTGTTCCACCATGCCTGTAGGCCCCCTGTATTTTTGGCCTTGAATCCCTTTTCAGACTCTCCCTGGTCTCCCTTCTCATTGACCCCCAAACCTGAATCTCTCTTTCATCGTGGCTACTTCTCTTACTTCAGCTGGTGTCCAGCTGGCTTCTTCCATCCCAGACACAATGCTTTGCTTTGCTTTCTTTTCTCTCTGGCTTGTAACAAGCACAGTGTTGCTTTCTTCACTTTCTAGGCTACTCTCATATTGAGGATTTTCGTGTCTTGGGCTTTCCTTGTATCCTGGTTCTGTGCTTTTTAACTCAGATCTGTTAACTTTTCTCAGGTTGTGCTCTTGAACTCTGCCCTTATTAAAATCCTGTGTCTTTAGTTTTAAAATTTTAAACTTTTTATTACAGAAAATTTCACCCACATAAAAAAGTAATGTGTATACTGATCTTCCATATACCCTTTACAACTAGTAATATTGCCAGTCTATTAATTTCCTTTTCCATTCACAGATTAATTACAACTAAGAATTCTTCAGTCCAACTATCATTTTCTCATACATTCTCTTGTCCTTACTGAAATCATACCTACTGTATGGGGAAGATCGTATTGTGAATGTAATGATCTTTATTTTAAGCCCTTTAGCAGACAGTTTCAAATAACTTGTCACTTTCCAGTTGGGCATTTTAATGATTTATCTGCCTCTGCGCATCTGGGGTAGGAACATAGACCTCACATAGCCTCTGCCTGTCAGGTGCCAGTCAAGAGTTCTGGCTCTGTAGTGTGATGTTCATCAATCATTTAGCTCCACTGTCTGTGAAAATGACTTACTCTAAATAAGCATTCAGTAATTGGGTTTAATGGAGTTTTGAGTTGGATTTTTTTCTTTTATAATTTAGCATTTTAGCAAAATTCAGCATGTTGATTTAGCGTCACATAAGGAAATCTAAATAATTTTTAGGAAATAAATTTCTTATCTATTAAGAATGCTTTTTATCTCTGGGATAAGAGCACAAACATGGGTGAATGTATAAACATCTGCTTTTCCCTAGAGAGCCTCCTTTTCACCTGACCAGAAGAGGCTGGGGTGAGTTTCCTGTCAGAGTTCAAGTGCACTTTAAGGACAGCCAGAACAAGCGGATAGATATCATACATAATCTGAAGGTATTGTAACACAGTGTTGCTCCCTGGAAATGAAGTGTCTCCTCACCAGCTATTTTTATTTATTTATTTAAAATTATTTTTTTTTTTGTACCAGGGATCACACTTGGGCCCTTGCACTTTCAAGGCATGTGGCAGAACCACTGAGCCAAATCCCTGGCCACCAGCTATTTTTAAATGGCAGCATTGGGCCTTCTGAGGGGAGTGGCAGAGCACAGTAGAACAAGATACACTTTGAGCGTGTTGTACTCAGTGCTATGTGCTCTGAAGGTTGGGGAGGCAGTTGCTTTAGAGTATAATGCTCTAAAGATGAACAAACTGTTCATAATTAGACTTGAATTTTTTTTTATCAAGCATCACTACATAAAGCTATTATGTGGACTAAGTTGCTAAAATCTTCATATTTTAATCTGTTTTTCTGTAAAATGAATTAATAAGCATTGCCTACTTATAAAGATTAAGAGAAGTGAATATGTTTTGGCAGTTATAAAGTTCATACAAGGTTGCAACATTTTTATTTGTTCAGTGAGAAATCCTTCACGGATATATCCACATGGATTATTGTACAATCATTTCAAATTAAATTTTGTGAAGAGTTCTTTCTCTATAGGGAAATAATACCATGATAGTAAGTGAAAAGCAGAATATGAACTATGATTTTTAAAAGGTAAAAAACAAGAAATAATAGTAAAATGTTTGAAATAATGACATTGTGGGCATTCCCCTGTCTGTTTCTCTGGGTTTTGTTTTTAATTTTTTCAGGTTTATATACAAAGTATTTAACTCTTACAGTTGGAAGATAGATAAATTTTAAATAATTCTCTAGAGACTCTTTACAGTATACAGATTATATCATTTGTTCATTGTTAAAATTTATATCTAGATGACCCCTAAAGCCTCATTTGATCACAGATGGGATCTTTGCAAGGTAATTGGAATATAGGAGTGTTACAGCTGGCTTGATGTTAGAAGGTGGGGCCTGGTTGGAAAAGCAGGTCACTGTGGGCATGACATGGAAGGTTATAACTCCTTTTCTGGCTCCTCCTTTGAGTCTCCTTCCTGGCCACCGTGATATGGGCAGCTTTTCCTCTACTATGCCCCTCTGTCATTCCTTGGCATCAGCTAATCATGGGCTAGAAACATGAACAAGAATAAACCTCTCCTCCTCCAAGTTGTGGGTATTGGGTATTGCATTTCAGTGACAAAGTAACTAAGACAGATCTTGGTACCAGAGGTGGGGTTGTCACTGTGACTATACTTGACCATCTGGTTTGAAAGCCTGGAATTGACTTTCCAGAGGAGTTTGAAAATGTTTCAGGATGCTGACTGAGAAGCAGCCCTAGAATGCTGTAAGGTAAACTTGATAGGAGATTCTGGTTGAAGCTCAGAAGACCAAAATACTGATTGCAGTACAGATAGTGAAGACTAGGCTCAGGAGGTTTCAGTTGGGATCAAGGACTCCCTTGGCAGTTGGACTCCAGGCCATGCGTTATTCTCTGGTAGAAAATTTGTCTATGGGCTAGGGATGTAGCTCAGTGGTGTGGTGCCTCCTTGGCAAGTGCAAAGTTCTGAGTTCAATACCCAGTACCAAAAAAATATATATATTTATATTTTGCTTATTCTCTGACAATAAACTGACATTAGGTGAGATAGACTAATTAAACTGGAGGTGGAAATTTCAAGGATGTCTAGTGTTCAGGCTGTAACATGGATACTGCTTGGTGCTTTTAGCCATGAATATACTGATAATCAGGAGCAAAAAGCCCATTTGAAAAGTATTCAGCTTCCCAAGAAGGAAAGACAGTCAAAATTGGAGTAGAAGAGAGCTTCCTTGTTGAAAAGATTAGCATTAAAGAGAAGTCAGGTACTTCACAGCAGAACAGTAGGAAAGATGTGTTGAGGACATGTGAGGAACCAGCAAGGCCCTACCTTTCAGGCAGGCTCAAAATTGCAAAAGTGAAGCACTTTGTTTTGAGAAGAGAACCCCAAGGCACTGTACTGAAGAAAGGCTGCCTAGGGAATTTGTTCTCCAAGTTTAGTTCACAGTGCTTAGCCATCCAGGCCCTCAGAGCCCTCTACAGCCATGATTCAAGCAGGCTCGTCTGCTGCTTGAACTAGTGGCAGACCTTAGTTCTATCCACATGATGCTGTTTTTATAGGAATGTTGGGTCAGGGTCAGATTTCAACAGAATACCTGGAAAGCCAGGCAGTATGCCGCTGTGAGGGCAGTGTGTGAAGCTGTGAGAGTGCAGTGGAGAGGCCACCAATGTGGAGAATCTACGGAAAGCCACAAGGAATGAACAGAACCAACCCAAGAGAGAAGCCCCAAGAGTTGCATCTATCTGCAGTGCAGTAGAGGCAGAGCCACTCAACCCTTTGTAATTCACATCTTGCCAAAACTTGCCCCAGGTGCTGGACATAGAACTATGGGATTTAATGTTTGCCCTGCCAGATTTTGATCCTATTGGTTTCCGTCACTCTGTTCCTTTTGTAGTGGGAATGTTTATCCTGTGCCATTTTTTTATTGGAAGTGTTTACTTCTTTTTGATTTTTATAGGGACTCACAGCTAAGTTTGCTTTGATACTCAGGAGGCTTTGGACTTGGATTTTTTTCAGCAGTGCAAAAACTGTTAGGACTTCGGCAACTCTTAGAGATGGACTAAATGCATTTCACATAAAGAGATGTGTATGAGCCTTTTGGGGGTGGTCAGAGGCCAAGTGTTATGGTTTATATCTAGTTGTCTCTCCAAAGCATGTGATCATAGGTGCAACTTTTGGAAGGTGATTGGATTAGCTGACTTGATGTCAAAAGGTGGGGCCTGGTTGGAAGAGGTGGTCACTGCGTGTGGCCTGGAAGGTTGCAATCCCTGGGGCTCCTCCCTTGAGACTCTGCTTCCCAGGCACCATGACATGAGCAGCTCCTCCTCTGCCCTGCCTTTGAGCCAGCCAGTCACAGACTGTAAACATGAGGCAAAATAAACCTTTAAGTTTTGGGTGTTGGGTATTATGTCCCAGCAAAACAGAAAGTAACTAAGACCATATATTTTTGTATTAATTCTAATATTATACTTCTCCTACCGATAATACTGCCTGCACCCTTACTTTGTGATTATCACATTATTCCCATTAATGGCTTCCAGAAGTGAACTAAATGAAGCCAAGTACATCTGTAGAATTCCTTTGTCATTGCTTTTGTCCTATAGCTATGCCTCTTTCAACCCTGAGACATGCTGAGAATTTCCCTCTAGCAGTGGAGGAGTCCTGCCTAATTTGATATTTATGTGTTTCTCTAGAGATCACTGTAAGGCTGGATTGCCTTATGACCTGAGAGAAAAACGGAAATCAGTTAAAGAGCATGCAGACACTTGGTCCAGAAGGGCAGAACACTGTTCCTTTCCTTTGAAGATCTAAAATAGTTTTGCTTTCTTTTTATCTTAATCACTGTACACACCAATTTAAGTTGCCCTGAGCCCAGCCTAATCCCTGCATAAAGGGAGTTGTTTACATAGTTCTTCTGTATTTGAGTGGTGTTTTTAAATGACAAGTACTTCTTACCAGTTTTACTAGAAAATATAGCTTTACTATTTTGTTGTGTATTGACTCTGAGACTTTATAAACACCTGTATTTTGGCGCTCAGGTCTTTATTTTCATGTACATGACATTTGATTCTACCTTCTTTGCTGTGAATGTTCAGTTGAAGGCCATTCTTTCTAAGTAATCTTTCTTACATTCCCCCAGTTGCTAGTCTGCTGTCCTCCTGTCTCCTGACTTTTTAGTTTGTCTCCTTTCCCTTCAGTCCATTCTGTACTCCATCAGACCAGTCTAGCTAGAACAGCAAAACCTCTCTTTCTGAGAATTTAATTGAATTCGTGCTGTTGATGCTCAGGCTCCCTGCCTGCTGTTGAGTCTTCTGATTTGACCCAGAAAATCCCTTCCGTGGTCTCACATGGTTTGCTGCATCAGCTTCTTAACTCCAGCCACGTCTGTCTGTCAATGTCTTGAAAATGCCTTGGCTCTTCTTCCCTGTGTCTTTTTAAATGTTCTTCCCTTCCTTGAATTTTGTTTAAGTCCTTTCTATTCTTCAAGCTCCTCTGTAACTTTTCTTGGCTATTTAAGCCCATAGTGATCTCTGTACTTTAAAATTCTGTAATACAAAATACTGTGTATTTGACACTATCAAATGTAATTAAATGTAAAGTACTCTATGTGTTAACAGTTACATAAAATTTATTTTTATTAAAGATTGCAAACATACATGACAAAAAATGAAGATACTAAATAAAAATTTCAAATATACATATATATAACAGCAAAAAAAGGATATGAAATAAAAATTTATGCAACACAGACTATAATCGAAATAATGTACAATTTAAAAGTTATCAGAATCTGTGGAAATGTGGGACTGGTAGTCACTGAACCTCTCCTAAATCATCACCATCACAGCACTTCCTGTAAACTCCTTAGTAAATAAACTCTAGAAGGTTCTTTCATAATCACCTAAAACCGCTTTTGAAAAAAATCTTGATCTCATTCTCCTAGTTTGATTCTCAAATAATATAAGACCACACTTCAAAAGAATTTTTCTGGTATCTTTCATGTCTCTCCTGATTTCCTACTTTGTTTAGGCAAAATCTGTTCCTGTAACATTTCTGTGTGCTCTTTTTTCTCATCGCTCTTGCTGTTTTGTTAATAGGTGTGATTTATCAGTGGCTCTCTTCATATCTGATCAGAAAAGTAAAACATACGTCTGCACAGATTACAGAGAAGCTATTACACTCTTTCTGTGTTTTAGAGAATAGGAGCATGGATGTAATCTAAAACTGCTCATATGTCTTTTGCAGTGTACTCCTGGCTAAGGTGTAAATATGAAAATCTAGATCTGTTCCATGGAAATACTGTTAGTCATGCTGTATTGCTTTTTATAATCTCCAGGCACTAGAGTCTCATTTCTGATTGGTTGAGATGCCCTGTCAGGAACTCATACCAACTTGACATCTGCTTACAGGCCTGTAAAACTATGAATTTACCAATCTACCCAGGCTTCATCAGTTTTTCCTTCTGTCTTTCCTTTCTACCCAACTTAATTGTACTTTTCTTATTGATCTTCGTGTGCAATTTTTTATAAAAATTTTTGGGTTGTTTTGAGATAGGGTCTCACTATGTAGTGCAGGCTGGCCTCAAACTCAGTGATCTTCCTGCCTCAGCCTCCCAAGAGCTGGATTACAGGTGTGTGCTACCACACCCCCACCATGTATGCAATTTTATATTGATAAGGTATTACACATTCTTTTTTTAATGGTCAGATATAAATTGAAGCACAGTAGCCTTTTTCCATGTAATTGTAAACTTTTGTTTGTATTACTAATACTCCTTGTTTATACTACTTCCCTCAAAGAATCATTTATGACCCTAATGTATTTGAAGTAGCATTGCCTGTACTACCTATGTTTTTGTTTATGTTTTTCAGCAGTGCTTAGTAACTTAAGTTTATATGTACGTTGTCACATGCAATTGTGGGGTTTTTTTTTGGGTACTGGGGATCAAACTTGGGTCCTTGTGCTTATGAGGCAGTCAGCGGAACCACTGAGCTAAATTCCCAGCCTGCAATTGTGTATTTTTATAGCCTGTCAATTTAAAATATCCTTACAGTTTTGTGTGTGTTTTTTGTTGTTGTTGTTGTTGTTTTTGTTTTTTTTGTAATTTTGTGAGACAGGGTCTTGCTGTGTAGCCCAGGCTGGCCTTGAATCATGGAAATCCTCCTGCCTTAGCCTCCCAAGTGCTGGGATTGCAGATGTGTGCTACAGCACCTAGCTCTGTAGAGATTTTTTGTAAATTCATCTTTGTAGTTCTATAGTACTTCACCAAATGATGGTCCATCGTTTACTTAAGTGTTCTTCTTTACTGGACATTTATATTTATATTTACTGGCGTAAATGATGCTGTAGTAAACAACTTTTTGTATAAAGCTTCCTTTTTTAGATAATCCTTAGAATAGGTCTATAGAAGTATATCATTTATAAAAATAGCTGTCTGTTTTTTCTTTTACTTAATTTTCCCTGAAGTTTATTTTTATTGAAATGATAAATTGATAATTTATATCATGATAAAGTAGATCCTATGTTAAGAAGACTGGTGGTTAAAAAAAAAAAAAAAGACATGGTGAAAGGAGTTTGAGATAAGATTGTGCCCTAGGGTTTATAACTAAGCACTGTGAATCTGACCCTCTCCCTCTGTCTTCCGTAGCTGGATAGGACCTACACGGGCTTGCAGACCCTTGGTGCAGAAACGGTAGGTATCCCTCCTTCCAGGGGGATGAAGTTGGTCTACCTTGGTGGGGGTGGGTGAGTGTTCAGTAGATCTTCTCAGCTGTAGTTAAAAAAATAACAGAACGTATCATCTTCACCATTTTTCAGAGTATGCTCAGTGGCATTAAGTGCACTCCAATTTTTTTGAGCCATCAGCACAGTCTGTATCTTGGTTTGTTTTTATCTTGCAAAACTGAAAATCCACACCTCCTCAACAGTTCCTTTTCCTCCCTCTCCCTTGGCTCGGAAAACCATTGCCCTGCTTTCTGTCCTTGTGAATGGGGCTATTCTGGGAACTTAAATAAATGGAATTGTATCATAATAGTCTTTGTGGTTACTTTATTGTATTTAGCATAATCTCAAGATTCATCCATGTTGTATGTCAGAATTTCCTTCCTTTTTTATTTTGTGAAACAATTTCATAATTAATAAGAGAATAATAGTTATTACACAGTGTATCATTTTCTTTGTACCAGTTACTCTGAGTACAAAACAAACCAAAAAGGTTCTTAACAAAAAAAGATGACTAGGGCCAGGGATTTAGCTCAGTGATTCCACTGCCTGCCTTGCAAATGCAAGACCCCAAGTTCGATTTTTTTTCAGGGGTGTGGGGGAGATATATTTTCTTTTCAACAAACTCATATAAACTAGTAGTGTAAATGAAACCAATTAGCATGTATATTGAAACATCTTTAAAATGATGGAATTTGTATTTTGGGGAAGTATTAGAACTTCTTATTTATCTCTCTTCTGTTTTGCCCTGTGTGTATGTGTGTGTGTGTGTCTCTCTGACTGTCTGTCAGATATGTTTCTCATATAAGAGAAACCATGTGATATTTGAGCCTTTGTGTCTGACTTATTTCATTTAACATGTTTTCAAGTTGCATCTGTTCACCTGTGAATACCTCAAGTTTATCTTTATGGTAGTCCTCCACTGTGTATAAACGCCGTATTTTCCTTATCCACTCATCTGTTAATGGACATACATACTGTTTCCAAGAACTGACTATTACAAATTGTGCTGCTATAAATGTGGGTATGTGTGTATCCCTCTACGATGTTGAACTCTTGGGATGATAATCTGGAAGTGGGATAGCTGGATCAAATGGAATTCCTATTTGTAGTTTTTTGAGGAGTCTCCACACTGGTCACCATAGTATTTGTATTAGCTTCTATTCCGCCAGCAGTTTAGAAGAGTCCCTTTTCCCCCATATCCTTACCAGCATTTGTTACTATTGGATTTTTTGATGCTAGCCATTCTTTCTGGGGTAAGGTAGTATCTCGTTTTAATTTACATTTATCTGGTGGCAGTGATGACCATTTAAAAAATGTATTTAAAATTTTATACTTCTCAGAGTGTCTTTTCATTTTGGTTGCCCATGTTTTGATCAGATCATTTTGGGGGAAGGGTCTAGTTTTTGGGGTTTTGCTTTTTCTTCAGTTTTTTATATATTCTTGACATTAGTCCTCTGTCCGTGGAATAGCTGGCAAAAAAATTTTCCCGCTCTGTAGATTGTCTTCACTTCAATAGTTCTATACTTTGCTGTACAGAGCTTTTTAATTTGCCATGACCCTATTTGTTGATTCTTAGTTATTTCTTGTGCCATTGGGTTCTATTCCGAAAATCTTCGCCTGTGCCTATGTCTTCAAGAGTCATACCTGTTTTATCTTCCAGTAGATTGTTTCTGTTTAAACATTCTGTTTAAACATTTTAAACATAAAATAAAACCATTTTTATTTTATGTTTAAAACATGGTGAAATATATGGGTCTAGACTCAATCTTCTGCATGTGGATGTCCAGTTTTCCCAGCACCATTTATTAAAGAGACTAACTTCTGTACTGTATGTTTTTGGCTCTTTTGTCAAAGATCAAATAGTTGTATGTGCCTGGTGTTGTATCCACTTCTGTTCTGTTCCATTGAAGCTCCAGGTTTCCTAGCACCAATTTCTTTTTGGTTTTTTGAGATAGGTTCTCACTATGTAGTTCAGGCTGGCCTTGAACTCACTAGGTAGCCCGGGCTGGCTTCAAACCTGCAGTGATCCTCTTGCCTCGGCCTCCCAAGTGCTGGGATTGCAGGCGTGTACCACCATGTCTGTCTACAGGCACCAATTTCTTGAAAACACTGTTCTTCCGGTTGGATGGCCTTGGCCCCCCATGGGAGGTCATTTGGCCATACATGTGAAGGTTTATTCTATTCCATTGGTCAGGACTCTGTCTACCATTTCACACTGATTCTTATGGCTTTGTAGTAAGTGTTGAAAGCAGGAAATGTGCGACCTCCAACTTTGTACTCTCCCTTTTCTCTCTTTTTTATATTCGTGATATAATATCAGCAGTAGATAGCTAGTTAACTAGTTACCATACTTAACTAGTTAGCTCTATATCTAAAGAAATGAGCTGTGTCCTATCAGAAGATACTTAATTGAACATCTCCTCCATGGCCAGGATGTTGAGAAATACAGAGATGAATAAGATGGCCTCTATCCTCAGAAAGTTTCATTCTTGGTGGTTTTGAAAATGAGTAGGATAGGCACCAAACATAAAAGCAAATAAGACTGTGGAGTGTGATGCTGTGGCAGAGTGCTTGCTTGGTATACACAAGGCCCTAAGTTTGATCCCAAGCACCACCAATAAAAAGTAAAGTCGGGGATTTAGCTCAGTGGTTCCGCTGCCTGCCTTGCAAGTGCAAGGCCCCAAGTTAGATCCCCAGTACCAAAAAAAAAGGCAAAGCGAATTTCAGTTACCAGTAAGTGCTGTGAAGGAGATAGTAGCCAGGGAAGCACAGATGTTTCCTAAGGTAGTTGGAGAAGGGCCCCTGAGAGGGTGACATTTCATTGAGACCAACAAATGGGAAAGGCAGCCATGCAAGGATTTCAAGGCAGTGTCTCTCGGAAGTGGAAACCGCACATGGAAAGGCCTTTGAGGCACACTGTGTGTCCGGAAAGCCAGGTTGGATTGTGCTCTGGGGTTACCCTCAGTTCTTCATGCGGAGCTTGCCTTTAAGATGTGATCAGGAGCCACTTGTTACATGTCCCACGGTAGTGTTCGGGGGCAGAACTTGAGCTTTCTGGGACATGGATGGTGGACTGATGTGCCGATTGTTGCTGATCACGTGGTAGGTAGTGGATGTCGAGCTCCACCGGCACTCTCTCGGAGAAGACTCCATTTACCCTCCGTCCTCTGAGTCGGACGTCTCGGATGCCCCTCCATCTTTACCTCTGACCATTCCAGCCCCAGTGAAGGCTTCTTCACCAATAAAGCAGTCCCTTGAGCCAGTTCTTGATGCCTCGGTGGAGAAAGGTAAAGCAGCGTTTTCCTCATGTGGAGTTGTTCTCTGGGGCCATTTCCGCATTAGCATGCTAGTCTGCCTTCAGCTACTTCAAGCATATGGCAAATAGGTTTTTCATAAATAGGCATGCTGCATCTACCTCATGGTTCTGTTATCACAATAACAAATTTTGTGCTTTTATCAGAAACTCCTTTTCCCATAGCATTTTGCTGACATTTTAGTGATGCAAACATCACTAAAAAGCATTAAGTTTTTTGTTTGTTGTTCTTTTTCAGTACTGAGGATTGAATCAAGGGGAGCTCTACCACTGAGCTGTATCCTCAGCTCTTTTTATTTTTGGCTTTGAGATGGGATCTTGAGTTGCCCAGGCTGAACTTTGAACTTGCAATCTTCCTGCCTCAGCCTCTTGAGTAACTGATACTACAGGCATGTGCCACCGCACCCAGCTAAAAATCTATATATTTATCTTGTGCTGGAGATTTTATGGTCAGCCTCTACTTCTGTAGAGAATTGAATGTAGGAGAATTGAATGTTAAATATAATCTTATTGAAAATAATGTTCAACATCAACAAATTATTTTGGCCATGGCATTTTTTTCATTAAATAAGTATATACATGGGAATTTAAGTGTTCAAATATATGAGCGTATAAGATAAAACTGACTCTTAAATTGTGTTAATTTTATCTTAGTTTATAATTTAATGTGGTAATATTTTAGTTCTTTTATAGAATCTCATCTTTATTTCTCTATTGCAGTTGCATCTTTGTGAGCATTTAATAAGTTAGGATGTCAGATTAAGTGAATGCTTTCTGAGTTTTTCTACTCTAAACAGTTTTTCAATTCATGTATTAAAAACTAAAGAAAATAATGAACTTGAGTTATTTTTGTACTGTAAATGGTTTATAGTTAATGTTTTCTAATTTCTTAGAAGCATTTTAACTAAATAGTCTAAGCATATTTACTTTCCACCAAAAAATGTGAAAAGATAATTGATTATTTTACAATCCATAATTGGTTTAAATAGGTATTGAAATAATAGTGAATAACATAGTAATATTTTACTATTTAGTAATTTCTTTTTATTATTTAATTTATTATTTTATTATAATTTAATAATTTCTTTTCCCATACGGTAAGGTTTAGTTATTTCAAAATAACTGATGACCTATCATATGCTTATTAAATTCCAAACAGGATTCCCAGCCAGCGCGGAAGCTGAGAGACACACTACATTTTGTTCTTTGCCGTCTTCATTGGAAAGAACGCCCACTAAAGTGACAGTGTCCCAGAAAGTTACTTTTTGTTCTCATGGCAATTCAGCTTTCCAGCCAATAGCATCAAGCTGCAAAATTGTACCGCAAAGTCAGATCCCTAATCCTGAGTCACCTGGAAAATCCTTCCAGCCCATTACCATGAGCTGCAAGATTGTCTCAGGTAGGCAGAAGATTGTGCGTCACATTGACTGGAGATTAGAATTGTTGGAGCGAAGTTCTTTTTAGCAGTGTTCGTTTATCAAAAAGACTTAATCACTGTTGATTGGCAAAGCTGTCACAACAAAAAACAACTCATTCATGTGAAGCTTTTGAGTGGGATGAAGAAGTGAGACTCCAAATGGTCAGATTCTCCTAGAATGAGCACAGTCAATTTTTTTGCTGGGATGTATGGCTGAAACTAAGTTGAAATAAGTGTAGGGATTCAGAATGACTAGTAATAGAAACAAACCGAGAGGCTTTTTGGCATGGAGTCAAGCTGTAAAAGGTTGGAATTGCCGGGCATGGTGGCGCACACCTGTAATTCTGTCACTTTTGAGGCTTAGGCAGGAAGATTGCCACAAGTTTGAGGCCAGGCTGGGCTACATAGTGAGTTCAAGGCCAGTCTGAACTACATAGTGAGGGCCGGGGATCTAGCTCAGTGGCTCCCTCCACTGCCTGCCTCGCAAGTGCGAGGATCCCAATTTCAATTCCTGGTACCAAAAAAAAAAGAATGAACTACATAGCGAGATCTTGTCTCAAAAAATAAAATGAAATGTTTTAATTGAAATATTTTATCCTCTCTAATGCTTCCTTTTCGCTACAGTTATATTGTCCTTTGCATTGTGACAGATTTGTGTTTATGCTAAGTAGAGTTAATAGAACACACTGTGTGGCTTTGGCTGTACTTTAGAAGACAAGTAAGGAGGGCTAGGGATTTACCTCAGTGATGCCACTGCCTCCCTCGCAAGCGCAAGGACCTGAGTTCTTTCCCCAGTACCAAAAAAAAGAAGATGATTGAGGGACAGTTGAAAGCATCTAGGCAGGGGAATGCTTCTGTACAGTGCTTAAGTGAAAGAGAAAGACAGTTTTCGCTGCTAAGCGTTGAACAGCTAAGCAGGAACATGGTCCGGATCTTGATAAAAGGCAGAGTGTAATTTTACCTATCAGTTACAGTTTTGGAACTTAGGACTCAGAGAGGGAATAGGTAAATACAGAAATGAATTTGAAGTTCAGAGAAATGTGCAGGTGACACATTTGATCAGTAAGGCCATCAAGAATGAGTAACCCTAGAGACACCCTGTGGGAGCAGGAGTCTTCCGGACTGTGGCCGTGACGTAGTATTGACAGAGACGTTTGTCTTGAGTACATGGATTTCAGTTTTCCTTATTTGGAATGCATTGCAAATCAACACATCAAGTTCCAAAATCTGGCAGTTAAACTGTTCATTTTCTCCTTAATTTTAGTGTCTCCTGTCCTCACAAGTGCGAGGTCCCAAGTTCGATCCCCAGTACCAAAAGAAAAAACAATAATTTTAGTGTCTCCCATATTAAAACAACCTGCCTGTGATACTAAGAAGTTTTTTAATGCCAGGATACATCAGTTCCACACTATGAAGCAAAACACCGCTTTTTAAACTTTACTTTGAGGAGATCTTGTTAACATGCAGATTTACACTGAGAAGGCCTGGTTTGCACATTGCTGCTGGTGGTGCCCAGATTAGGGTGCAGTGTGAGGCACTCTCCTCCCTGGCCACGCCTGTACTGCTGCCCATGCTGCTCAGTACCTGGAGCATACAGCCAGCCTCCTTCCGTTCCTTCTTCCTGATTTGCGGCCTGTCTTCAGCTCCTTCCCTCTCTTTCTTCCTGCTTTCCTCCCTCCCTCCCTCTCTTCTTTCTTTGTTTTGCAGTACTAGGGGTTGAACCCAGGGCCTTTCCACTGAGCTACATCTCCAGTCTTTGTTGAGACAGGGTCTCACTGAGTTGCCCAGGCTGGACTTGAACTTGTGATCTTCATGCCTCAGCCTCCCAAAGCGCTGGGATTACAGGCATGTTGCCACCACTGGAGACTTCAGCATCTTAGATGAATATGTGTATTTTGTTTCTCTTTTCTCTTTCATTGACAAAGGTTCCCCAATATCAACTCCAAGTCCATCACCATTGCCTCGAACCCCTACTTCCACTCCAATCCATGTGAAGCAGGGCACTGCCAGCTCTGTTACGAACAACCCTTACGTTATCATGGATAAGCCGGGGCAGGTTATTGGAGCCTCCACTGCGAGCACAGGTGCGTATTTGGTCAGGATTTGTGCGTTGAACACTGCTACCTCTTACTACAGGTGAAATCCTAGTATGACTTAGTAGCATCGAGCAGAATGAAATCTCCATCTGTGAATAAGAATCTATAAAAGTAACATCAATACTGTTTGTCTGAGGGAAGATGTAGCCTTTGTAAAAAGTTACATTTTTAATAATTAGTAGTGAACCATAACTAATTTTCTTTTCATTTAGAAATGAAATTCTTGTTTTGGAGCCTGCAAGTAATGTGATTACTAACATTTGCAAGTTAAGCCTTTGGTGTGATGATAGCGTTGTAGGCCAAACAGCATGATCCTTACTTTTCCCAAAAATAAGATAATCCCATCTAACTGTAGTGCTTTCTGAGGGGGGGGGTGCTCTTTCACTACTATTTTATTTATTCCCTTTGCTCAACATGTATTTAAACACATGTTCCCAAGTATAAACTTCTCCAATTAGGAGAAATGAAACAAAATAAAAACAATGATTTTAAGGTAATAAGATTGTTTTGTTTTGTTGCATTGTATTTTTTCCTTGTGTTTTTTGAGACAGGGTCTTGCTATGTAGTTAAGGTTGGCCTAGAACTACATAGCACAGGCTGGTCTCAAACTAGTGGTGATCTTCATGCCTCAGCCTCCTGAAGGCTGAGATTATAGGAGTGATCCACCATGCCTGGCTGGAGTTTGTTTTTTGTTTTAATGCATTGGATTTAACATACATTCCTGTATGTTGGGCTTTCCAACTTGTTTTTGTCATTGTTGCTATTGATGCTCTTTTTTTAAAGCTAAGTATTTTACACAGCCATAATTCTGGAACTTCTGTAGGAAAACTGCTTTGGGGACTTTGCTAGTAGCCTTTAAACATTTCTTTGAACGCCAGTGGTGTGACCCTTGAGGATGATTGATTTTAGGAATCAGCCACAGTCTCCAGAGGCAAGTTTGGAAAGTGGAATAGAATAGGTGAATGCACACTGTGCTAGGTCTTCACTTACTACTGACTACTGATAATGTAGCTTATTTTGATCAGACCCTAAAAGAAGTTGTGCAGATAGATGTAAAACATTTAACCTGGGCAGCATTTTGGGACAGGATAACCTTCTAGAGAAGCTACTTTGCAGGAGTTGGCTTCCACTGGAATGCACACATTCTGGCCCATTTGTAGAAGGAGCAAAAACCATTATGTTATGCGCCTCTTCTTCTACAAGGAGTAGAGTCTACGATGGATACTTTCCTCTGCTTGTCCTTACCACCTTCTTACCCTTAATTTTCTAGGGATGCATCTAGGGTATTTTTTCTTTTATAGTATTTCAGGGTTGTAAATAGGTGTGGTGGCTCATGCCTGTAATCCCAGCCCTGTGGGCGGTTGAGGCAGGAGGGTTGCAAATTTGAGCCGAGACCTTATCTCAAAGTAGAAATTTTAAAAAGAATTGGGGAAGTGGTTTTTGTGCAAAGGCCTTGGGTTTAATCCCCAGCACCACACAGACACACGAAATTAAAAAGGGGAAAGAGGGAGAGGTGGTGCAAAGGGCTTAAAATGACATATTGTAAATTTTACTTTGTTTATACTTAATTTTTGTCTGCCCTGTATTAGGAAGTCCTACAAACAAGCTCTCCACCGCTTCTCAGGTCTCCCAAGGAACAGGTTCCCCTGTTCCTAAAATTCACGGAAGTAGTTTTGTAACATCCACTGTCAAGGTGAGAGTTCATCGCTGCCCTTTGCTGGTTCCCGAAGGCAGTGTGTGCAGCCTCAGCAGTGGTGTCCGTGGGTGCAGACTTCTTGGAGCAGACGGTACCCTGAAGACCCTCTCTCAATGCCGCTGCCTCGCCCCGCTCTTCTCCCAACACTTGTCTCAGATGATCACACAGCATGAGTTTCAAAACTTAATGTGATGAAGAGGTGGCCTTTTTTTTTTTTTTTTTGAAGGGATAGTTTTGTTAAAAACGTTTCCCTATAAAATATTCATCTTACAAAATGTTTCATTTTTCCTCCTTTTCTAAGGAGTAAATATATTTTCCGTGTGTTTACCTTTTAATTACTTGAAAATAATTCTTATCTCTCCTAAGTGGTTTTTTGTTGGTTTTGGTTTTGGTTTTTTGGGTCTCCGTTCTTCAGTGTGAACAGTCCTTTAAAATTTGGCACCCCAAATAAGAAAATACTAAATATCTGCTCACCGTTTGGAGAAACACTTCCCTGCTTTTTGGTTAGTTACCCAACTTATTCGTTGTGGCCCCCTTAAATCTGAAGCCCTCCGTGTTAAACTGTTCTCTGAGGAGCCCTGAGGGTGCAGAGACCACTGTGCCACATGAGTAGCGCCTAACAGCGCGTCTTCTGTTTAGCCCCTTGGTCGTGATGGTCTCCAGTGGTTTCCTGGTCCAGACTGAGGCTTTCCTTTAAAGTTTGTGCTGTGTGTGAGTGCTGTGTTATGTGAATGTCTGAATATTTTAACTACTAGGCTTTTCTCAGGGCTGGGGGTGGAACCCAGGACCTCATGCTGATCTGTTTCCTCCACTTTTTATCTTGAGGCAGGGTCTTGCTCAGTTGCCCAGGCTGGCCATCTGGCAAAGAGATGGATTACAGGCGCACGCCACTTCGCCAGGCTTGCCAGCTTAGGTTTTCGTCTTCGTTGATGAACTTTTCAGACATAGTCAAGAAATTTTTTTTTTCCGAAGAAATAGTCTTAACCCTAAAATTTAGTTACGGCGCATTACCTTGGAGATTGGCATTTTGTCTTTCAGAATTAAGAGACAGACTCCAGTAGTTCTGAATGTTGACCTTGTTGTCTTTGCAATACTGATTGTTCTTTTCATAAAAAGTCTTTATTGAAATAATTTCCATGGTATTCCAGTTACTAGTAAATTTAACAAATCAAGTTGAGACCACATTTAAAAAGAACATACACTGAAGCATTGCACCTACCCATTTCAGTCGTCCCTTTAGTGCCTAGGCTCTAGGGATATAACAGGACGAAATACAGCTCTCGTTCTTTAACAGTTCACTGTCTGCTAGGGGACAGAGCTAGTCACGTGCCAGTCATGTCAACCAAATGTTAGAGATTAAAGGAAGGATTGTTTTCATCATGAAGCAAGATACATATGAGTACATTTCTGCTAAGTTATAACTTTTCTTCACATTTACCCTTTCTAAAGCAAGATTAAAATGCAGCTGTAGAGACTTAGAGCACTCCTCAGAATTTTGGTCTGTTTTGTATTTTGCTTGTTTATGTTGCTCAGGCTTGCCATGGGTTTGTATTAAACATAAGTATTGGAATATATGAAAGCCCCTGTTTGACCTGGCTACACAGTATGTGTTTTTGCACACACAGCAGGAAGACTCTTTGTTTGCATCTATGCCACCTCTTTGCCCAATTGGGAGTCACCCTAAGGTTCAGAGCCCCAAACCTATAACTGGAGGACTTGGAGCTTTCACAAAAGTGAGTATTTTTTAGGGCGTTGTCCTTCAGGTCTGTATCGTCTTGTTATATAATCCTTTCTGTGGCATATTGGAGTGGAGACTACCCCACGGCACGTATGTCTCAGCTCTAAGAGGAGACCCTCGATCTGAGACTTGATTCCATCTCCTTAGCGCTTGCTGTCTGCTTCCTTACAGCCCAGCAATTGGGGAGTTCAGAAACATGAACTGTGTGTTTACCTCTCTATGTCCACTTGGCCGCCAATCTCTAAATCAAGTGGAAGCACAGGATCAAGTCCGGGTCTTACATCTGGTCCCTTTAGTAGCTGTCACGGGCTACATTTAAGCAGTATTTTACCCTTGTTGTGGAGTCATTCTAATAAAGTTAATCCCCACAAACAGAATAGGTATAGATATTGGTAGTCTTTTCCATGGGTTATTTATTCAGTGTTACTGTGTTTGTTGCAAGGTGATCATCAAACAGGAACCTGGTGAAGCCCCTCATGTTCCCACAACAGGAGCTGCCGGACAGTCACCACTTCCTCAGTATGTGACCGTGAAAGGGGGTCACATGATAGCTGTGTCCCCTCAGAAACAAGTCATAACTGCTGCAGAAGGGACTGGCCAGTCACCAAAGATTCAGCCCTCAAAGGTATGTGGGTAAGGGCTGGGAGTCCTCCTAAGTGAACGCTGTGTGTATAAGTAATTGACAAGTGCCGGAAAGGTTCAGGGTGACCAAGCTGCCAATCCTGTGAAATGCTGCGAACAACAGTCGGGTTGGAAAAGCAGGCCCGGTGATGGTGAGCCCATCTGCCCCTGCAGTAACCCTGACAAGAAAAGGGCGTGTATCACAAGATGGTCCTGGAACAGTGCCATGGTGAAGGGCCGCTGCATCCTCTGGAGTGAGAGCAACTGGGCTCATAGACGGAGCTTTCCACTTGACTCAGTCTAAGACGGTGCTACTGTTTCAGCTGTTTGTGATAGGAGAGTGCCACAGTGTATAGCTCTGGTATTCAGGATGCATTTAATGGTCTCTTAATGGTTTTGGCTCTCTAGAGAGGTAGTTTTCCTTGCAATTTAGAGATAAAGGAGGATTTGGGTATTGGGAGAACTATTAAGGAAGCACCTAGATCTGAGTTTTCCTACGTTGATTAGAAAGAGAATCTGCCGAGTGCTTATGTGTGCCAGCCGCGTATTTACGCACTAGCTGTGACCCTTACACCACCCTACAAGGTGAGTATTGTCACCCGGGCTTACGTGGCTCTTGCTAGCTTCTTTGAGAACGTGTGGCTAGCAAGCAAGCAACAAGGGGGTTAAACTCAGGTCTGACTACTCCAGCTTCCTCTTCCAGAGCTAGGAAAAATTCATGATACAGTGTCTCTAACTCAGAATGCTGTAGAACATCAGAGGTAAAATAATTATCTGTGTTTTGGCCCGGATATTCTGAAGCTACTGAGAATGTTTTATGAATTTTTTTTTTTTTTTTTCGTATCGGGGATCAAACTTGGGCCCTTGTGCTTGCAAGGCAAGTGGTAGAACCACTGAGCTAAATCCCTGGCCCTATGGATATTTTTCAACTCAAAAGGCAGATTGTCTAGAGAGAGTGAATTGTTTGAGAGGAGTACCTATTCTAAAATAGAAGGTTTTAGATAATTTTGATTGGCTTAGATACACAGATAAGGATTGAGATAAAAATTCATAGTAGTATCCAATAAGAATTTCCTGCAGATCTAAAAAGTACTGATACCTAAGGCATTCTTGAACTTGCTGAATCAGAGTCTCCTTTGGGGTAGGGGTGTCCTGGGATTCTGCACTTTTAATAAGCACTCCTGCTAACTTACGTGCTTAGGCAGACATAGAAGGCATGGAGTTATATAGCATCGAGTTTGATTTTGGTGCTTCTCTGGCCAAAACCAGGGGTGAGCATTCTGTCACAGTCCTTTAATAAGACAGTTATTGTCATCTCCCCGCTTCTGTTCAGACTTGTCTCACATGTTCGTCAAAATCTGCTTTGCTTCATAGAAGAATGTGTCACTTTTCTGATTTAGGGTGTGTGCATGTGGTTTTTCTGTTTAATGTTTTGAGACAGGGTCTTGCTATGTAGTCTAGGCTGGCCTAGGACTCACAAAGGAGCCCAGGCTGGCCTGGAACTTGCATCAGTCTTCCAAGTGTTAGGACTGCAGGCACGCACCACCACAGCCAGGTCCTGATTTAGGTTTTGAATCAGTCTGACATTGCTGTAGACACTCAGAAGTTCTGGAATAGCTTAGTCTCCACTTTTTGCCACTTTGCACTTTGCCGGTCCATTGGTCCAGCACCGCTGAGCAACCATTTTGTCTTACCTCCTTGCCACCTATGTACTGGTGGTAGACAAGAGAAAGCAAGGGGGGCTATGCTGCTCGAACAAAGCATAAACCACACAGAGTGAAAGACTGCAGAAAAGGACTTGAAGAGAAAAGGTGTTGCTCTTTACCAGGAGCTTTGTACTGGCTTTGGACTTGACATAAGGAGCTGTCTGTAAGTACAGGCTCTCCCTGGTTAATGTTTAAGTGCATTCCTAGAAACTGCCCCAAAATGGAAGCTACAAAAAGTGGTCATGTGCACAGTTTTGGCAAAGTGGAACTACAGCTTCTTTTTTATGTGTGAAAACGGAGTGAGCTGCTTCCTCTAACATGGAAAGAGACAGCTGAAGAGCAAGTGGGTTCAGCGTGGTGAGGAAGCAGTACAGCATTGTGAGACCATGAGCTTTGGGATTAGCCTCTTGTGTGACTGGGGCAGGTTATTTAATCTCTGATATTTTTCATCTAGTCAGAAGAATAATGCTGCCTTTCAGGCATGTGGGAGAAGGGGAGAGTTTTGTATATGAAGGACCTAGCAGAGGACTCATGATCAGTCATTGGTAACTAATGGGCTGTTGTATGTAAACGGGCACAAGTGCCTGTGGTTTTTGAGTATGTAGAGCGCAAGTCACAGACGTGAAATCTTCCCCTTCAGGGTGCTACGTTCTGACTCGCCACAGGTATGCCCACAGCCCGAGGAGGACAGAAAGGAAACACAGGGTCACAGTGTGCATCCGCGTGAACCATTTATAAAAGACACAGCAAAGTCTGTCTGCTTTGTGAAGCTAGCAGGAAATTCTCACCACCCAGAGAAGTGTAGAACGGGAAGAGAAGTTGGCATGTGAGTTCAGGTTGTGGCCAAAATGTGTTATTTCGAGAGGAAATACTCATGTGGCATTATACTGTTCTACTTAAGGGCCCTTCTTCTTTTTGGTGCCCATAATCAGCTGTGCCTAGAGTTTTCCCCTAGAGAGTATAGACTTTCCTGTTTTGTTTTGTTTTCAAAGAAAAGGTTGGGAATTGGCCTTGTGAATGCCACCATGTACATGGTAAAGTCTGTTGGTAAAGACTGCCCTCCTGTGGCCAATTTGGGATGTCATGTTTTGTCGGGCTCTTGGAGAAAGTTGAAGTTCACACTATTCTTCCCAGTATCATGAATCTCATACGTAGCATTTTAGTCCCTGCTTGTATTACATAAATACATAGCCATAGAAGACATACAGTGTTTGTGTTTTGGAGATTTACATAAGATTTTTTTTTACAGCTCTGTGTCCGCAAACACATATAGTTCTCATTCACTTAGATTAGAAAGATACAGTAAAAGATAACTTTTCTTAAAAATCAGGCATTGGAGTTCTAGAAATGGAAAGAAGATGTGATCATTTCCGATGGGGATCATATAGGAGAGATTACTGAAGAAGTGGGACTTAGAAATACTTACTGGAATTTGTAGTTCATACATACATAGGGGTGTTTACCATTAACGTGAAATTTGAAATTACTTAAATATCCAATAGTGAAATATCTGCATAGACTGTGATACACTATTCCAGTGTTGTATTTGGTCAGCTAACAATGTTTTTGAAATACAAGCTAAGGTGTTGGCTAATAAACATTAGTGAAATTAATATGCAGCATGGTCCCAATTCTGTGTTTTAAAGTATATATTAGAAGTAATTGGAAGAAATTAGGTTTAAAATATTGACAACTTATTTCTGGATGTGTAGAATTTTTCTTTAGACTTGTATTTCCCAAATTTTCTATTACAAAACTCGTATTGCTTTATAATGAAGTAATTTCTAAAAAATAAAGACAACAGTCTTCAAGCTTTCATTATTATGTCCAAAGTGTAAGAGAGGTCATTTCTCCCATCTGCCCGGGCGGCCTTCCTAGAGGGCTGGGTTACACACTGCACTTCTCACCCCGGCCCTGGCTCTGGTCCTCACTGAACAGAGCGGCTGCTCTGCTCTAGGAGCACTCGCAGTACCTGACATGAAGCCTTGCCAGATTCTCCTCTCTTTCAAACAGGTTGTCGGGGTGCCAGTTGGGTCTGCCTTACCTTCAGCGGTGAAGCAGGCTGTGGCAATCAGTGGTGGCCAGATCCTTGTTGCCAAGGCTAGCTCTTCTGTTGCCAAAGCAGTTGGTCCAAAGCAAGTTATGACCCAAGGAGTTGCCAAAGCCCTTGTGAGCGGAGGTGGAGGAACCATTGTTGCGCAGCCAGTACAGGCCTTGACCAAGGCACAGGTCACTGCCTCTGGCCCTCCAAAGAGTGGATCCCAGGGCTCAGGTAAGTGGTGCACCTGGGGGCTCCCAGTTTCCTTTGCTAGTGATGCAATTTGGTATTGATCCTGACTAGGAAGCCTAGTAGGCTGATGCCAATTTTGTGATTTCGCACTCCCTTCCATGGAGACTTTATTAATTTAAAGTAATTTGGTCTTTAAGTCCTCTTTAAGGTTCATGTTTAGAGGTTTTAAAGCTGTGTGCACTGATCGGTAATTTTTTAAGGAATTAAGTGAAAATTATTTGGCTTAAATAAGACTTTAAAAGATGAATCATGGTTTCATAATGTATGTGTCAGTTGGTGACTAGCATTTCTGAGTTCATAGTAAAGAGGGCGAGAAGTCTTGTGCTAAATCAGTACATTCATCTGTTACTACAGCCTGACTAAAGGAACCTTAAACAAATGGGGAAAATGTGTGTTCAGTGGTTATTTCATTAGCTGTGTAAACCACAGTACTTTGGAAAGTAAAATGAGACCAGTTATCACAATGAGGGGCTGAGGCATAGCTTGGGGAGACATGTGCTTAGCGTGTGAGGGTCCCTAGGTCCTCAGTCACAGCTACAGTGGGACCTAGGTGTAAACTACTGCAGGAAGCGTTCTAGGCAAAACCAGAACAGATATAATCAACCTGTTCACAAACAGCATACGTTAGTTTGTGGCAGGCTCTTCTGGTGTGTAAATAATTTTTTAATTACCAAGATATTTATTTTTTAAAAGATGTTAGACCTTTTTTTCTCTGTCTCCTAGTGCTGGGGATTGAACACAGGGATTTCATGTGAGCTGTATCATCGTGCCTTTTTAGTTTTTATTTTGAAACAATTTCTCTGTAAGTTAGTTGCCCAGGCTGGGCTCAAATTTGGAATCTGCCTGCCTCAGCCTCTCAGAGTGCTGGGATTACAGATCTGTGCCACCACACCTAGCTGAGTATTGGACTTTAAAGTATCTAATAAACATTCGCTGCTAGTGTTTTAAATAACTTTATTACTCTGTATTTTAACTTAAAGTGTTGTCCATAATTCTCATTTGTCTTACCGTTTTTCTTCCTTTTTCCCCTTGTCTCCCCCGCCCATTACCACTTTAGTAATGGCAACCTTGCAGCTACCAGCCACTAACTTGGCTAACTTGGCAAACTTGCCTCCAGGCACTAAACTGTACCTTACCACGAACAGCAAGAACCCTTCGGGGAAGGGGAAGCTACTGCTGATTCCACAGGGAGCCATCCTGCGAGCAACCAACAATGCCAGTTAGTCCACCCTTGAATCACTCACTGGTCCTTGGTCCTGGGTCTCTGGTGTGTTCTTCTCGGCCAACAGAGTGGCAGTTCTTACCTCTTCCAGGAAGTGCTTCCATAATTCCACAGTGGTAGCATTTGCCCACATGGCTTTAAAACAAATGTACACATAATTTAACTGGAAATGGGCTTAAATAGTCACAGTACTAGGGGGTAACACTGATATCTTGGGCTTCTCTGCTCCGGGTCTGGGACGATCTCAAGGGAGAGGTGAGGGTGTGGAAACTTTTGGGAGAAAGCAGTCTCTCCCGACCTGCAAGTGAACAGTTCTCCCTCTCACTGCAGGCCTGTTTTCATTTTAAAGGAGGCAGAGTAGTATTGGAATCAGGTGTCTCTGTTTGCCATTATTTAGGCTTTTTTATGTTTGCTAGGCTTGGAGAAGTACAGGCTCAACCTAAGTGTGTACATCACGAAATCAGAGTTACATAAACTTGCTTTGACATACAGAGAACATCGGGTTGGGTTGTCTAAAGAGGAAAGAGTGAAAGGAATGAGTTATTTCCCTCTGAGTCAGAAGCAGAATGGCATAACGGTGAAGCTTGTTAAAAATTAACCAGCATTGCCAAATCCAATGTAAGTGGGCACCATCTGTTTATTGTCTGTGGTGAGTCCTTGCCCCTCTCTCAGTCTGGTTTTGTTTTTCTGCAGCCCAAAGCAGTGGAGTGTCACAAAGTTAGATGAAAAAGGGCAATATAAGTATTCCAAAATTCACCCAGAAATAGTCAGTGATGCCGGGCGTGGTAGTGCATGCCTGTAATCCCAGCACTGGGGAGGCTGAGGCAGGAGGGTCATTGTGAATTTGAGACCAGCCTGGACTACATAGTGAGTTCCAGGTCAGTCTCAACTACATAGTGAGACCCTGTCTCAAAAAACCAAAAAAAAAAAGGAAAAAAGAAAATGAAAAAGAAAGAGGAATTGAGGTTGGAAAGGAAGTTGAGTATTTGTGGCCCAGGTAGCTCATGTCCTTTGTATCATAATGTATTATAATGTACCACTGACATTATCAGAGCAGAAGTAGAAGCCGTAGACTCTGAGGTGAGATTTGAAGAGCAAAAAGAAGGAGACCCTGGAATCATTATTAGTGGAGGGATTTGATTAAAGTACTTGGCTAGAAAATAGTGTCAGACTTGTGTTCTCCCACAGCCAAGTCTAACTACTTGTCAAAGATAAATTCTTTGTTGTACCTAGATCTGGAATGTGACCAGCTGCCCTTCAGTGGAAAAGACAGGTTGGGTGTTCCCTATCCAGAAATGCTTGGGATGACAGGTGCTTGGGATTTCAGCATTTTTATTTGCATAGACTATCAGTTGACCACCCTAGTCCACACATTAATAATGCTCAAAAAGTTGGATTTCAAGTTTCCGGATTGCATAGGCTCAGTCTGTGGTAGACTCTAATCTCATTTGCGAACTCTAGGAAGTCCTGCTACTCTTGTCGCCCAGTAGACAGATTACGGAAGAGGAGGGGAAAGATGGGAGAGGGGAGGGAATGGTGCTAGAAGGAAAGCATCTCACTGGACGCAGCTGCTTTTTTCTGTCAGACTTTGGCTTTGATCCGCTGTCATTCGTTGTACTTTGCAGACCTGCAGTCAAGCTCAGCGGCCAGCAGTGGTGGTGCAGGTGGGGGAGGCGGAGGCAGCAGCGGAGGAGGTGCTGCAGCAGGAGGGACACAGAGTGCTGCCAGCCCTGGCGGGGTTTCCCAGCACCTGACATACACATCCTACATCCTCAAGCAAACTCCCCAGGTCTGCGCGTTTGTGCCTGATCTTTTAAATCATCTTGCTATCTCATAGTTACCTTTAATTGTCATTGGTTTACTGACATTTTAGCCACGTTGTAAATCTGTTATTTGGGAGTTGATTTGTCTGAGAGATGAGGAAACAGATTCAGAAAGACCTGAATAATTCTAAGACAACCCTGCTAAACTAATGGTAGAATTTGGGTTTAAACCCAGATGTTTCTGCCTCAAAGAAAAATTTCCACTACGATCATTGCCTCCCAAATCTGTGAGGTGATAAATGTGTTAATACACAGTTGGAATTTTGTTCTTGCTTGGAATGACTTAGCAAAAGTAATAGTACCAAGTCATGGCATTTGAATTAGTTTGATTCAGTGATTTTGACTGAGTAGTTGCAGAATGAAGAGAAGACTATTGTAGCTTGTAACTTGTACTTTGTGATTTAAGCGGTCAGAGTAATCTATATTTGAATTTAACAAGTTCCTGGGTTGGTTTGTTTCTCCCTAACTAGGGCACATTTTTAGTTGGCCAGCCCTCACCCCAGACATCTGGTAAACATCTGGCTGCTGGATCAGTGGTCCAAGGAGCACTGGGAGTCAGCTCCTCTTCTGCACAAGGACAGCAGACATTGAAAGTTATCTCTGGACAGAAAACCACCTTGTTTACACAGGTAAGTACATGCCTGCACACACCCCTGACACGTGACCATGGTGCTTAACTACAGATTTATACCTTGTGCCTTCACAGACTCTTAAGAAATTTGAAAGAAATTAAGGTTGCATGAAAAAGTGAATGACAAAATAGTATAGAAAAAAAGAATAAATCTTGAGGTTTTGGAAAATATAAGTAGAATAAGAAAGTACAGCTGAATGTTATTCAGATATGCAAGCATTGGGTGCCTGTACAGTTACAAGGTGTAAATTTGACAGCAAAAGAAAAATGAGAAGCATGACCAGGTCTTTAAAAAAATCACATTAAGAGCCGGGGATTTATAGCTCAGTGGTGCCGCCACCTGCCTCACAAGCGCAAGGACCTGAGTTCGATCCCTGGTGAAAAGAAAAAAGAAAAAAAGCCACATTATTTGTGCAAAACAATAGTATTATTTCTTAGAAGAATCAGACTTCTTGATACTTCATTATAAAATTTCTCTTATGGGACTTCATGTAAGAGACCTTGAATAGTGGGACAGGTGATGTAGTCATGATACCCATTCAGTGAGTGAGTGTTCTAATGGTTTTGGGGCACGGTTCTTCATTTGTGGTACTGGGGATCAAACCAAGAGCTTTGCACATGCTGGGCAAGTGCTCTACCACTAAGCTGTACCCTCTGCCCACGGACCGTGTTTCTTTGTTTCGTTTTTGGTACTGGGGATCGAACTCAGGACCTTGCACTTGTGAGCCAGGCACGGCACGGTGCCACTGAGCTAAATTCTTAGCCAGGCCGTGTTTCTACAGCATTCTTCGATATACTCAGAAGGACAGAACTTTGATTGAGTGAGGGGCACCATAATCATCTCTGCGAAGATCCTATTGCTGAATGTCCAAAACTTACCAGATACAGCCGACAAAAGGGAGAAGGGTGTACTCGGTGTCGTGCCGTCGTCACAGGCAGCATGCTTCCGGCGCCTGTGTACTCAGCGTTTCTTGTTCTGAATTAGTGGTAAGGGAACTTCCTAGGTCCCAGGTCATAAAATTTAGGCTTGTAGGAAAGCTGCACAAGCACCTCCTGCAGTCTCGATTAGCAAGGCTTCCTTGGCCGAGTTCTCAAATGCAGGTACGGAAAAATCGGGTGTCCGTCACTTCTGCCTGTTCTGTTTCTGCAGGCAGCCCCTGGGGGACAAGCATCGCTAATGAAAATATCCGATAGCACCTTGAAATCTGTGCCGGCCACCTCCCAACTCTCAAAGCCTGGGACCACCATGCTGCGAGTAGCAGGAGGGGTTATCACAGCGGCTGCTTCCCCCGCGGTGGCCCTCTCAGCAAACGGGCCTGCACAGCAGGTGAGCACCGATGTGGCGAGGAAGTCTTGATAAAACACGATGGCAGATGAGCATGAGGAAGACACGCAGCAGGTGCACCAGTGCGCCTTTTTCAAGAATAGAAATACTGCTTTTTAGAAAACTCAGTAGCTACACATCATGGCACACTTCTGTCATCTAGGGTTGTGAGTTTGTTTGTTTTTGGTACCAGGGATTGAACTTGGGACCTTGCACTTGGAAGTCAGGCAGCTGAACCACTGAGCTAAATCCCTAGCCCTGGAGGGTTGTGAGTTTGAGGCCATTCTGGGCTATGTAGCAAGACCCTGTCTCTGAATGAATGAATGAAAGAATGAAAAATTTAAAACAAACATAAATTAAAAATTGAATTATAATTTACATGCCATAAGATTTCCCTCTTTGTTATGACTTCAGTGGTGTTTATTGTGTTCACAAGCTTGTGCGACTCTGATCATCTAAGCTGAGAACGGTTTTTATTGTCCCAAAAGAAGCCCATACCTAGTACCATTCACTTCCGGCCCCTCCCCCAGCCCTGAGCAACCACTGATTGTTCTTTCCGGACCATTTTGCCCTTTACAGACTTTTCATACCAACATGGTCCTCGTGCACTTTAACATTTTCAAGTTTCATCCATTTCGTAGTACTTCATTCCTTTTTATAGCTAAGTAACACTCTTTTATGGATCTACTGCATTTTGTTTATCCGTTTATCGGTTTGACAGACATTTGGTTTTCTACTTTACGACCTATGAAAATTTATGCACAAGTTTTTGTATGAACATACTGTTTTCATTTCTCTTGTCTGTGTAGCTAGGGATGGAACTGCTGGCCCATACAGTAAGTAACTCATGTCTAATTTTTTGAAGAATTGGCTGACTGTTCTCAGCACCTGTACCATTTTGCATTCCCACCAGTGATAAATGAGGGCTTCAGTTTCTCCATACTCGGGTGGCATTGAGACAGGGTGTCGCTGTGCAGTCCAGGCTGGCCTTGAACTCACCATGTAGCCCAGGCTGGCCTCGGTAGAAGCAGCAGCGTCCCTGTGTCTTATGTGGGGGCCACACACACACCTGTGGCGGCTGTAGCACTGATCATACTCGATGACCCTCTCCTCCTCGATGGCTTGTACCTCTGAACCCCGACATTTAGATTTAGCCTGCTGCAGCCATGTGGATGTCTCCTGAATGAAGTGATAGACTATGAAACGTTGTGGTGAATTTTTCATAAGTCTGATTTTTATTTCATTTTTTAAAATTTTTTGAGAAAAAATGGTGGTGAAATAGCATTCTATAAAGTGATATAGTAAGTGGTGAGTATTTCTTAATGTGGTAACCCTGCAATACTCCTCAACTTGTCTGGTCTGGTCCACGAGATCTGAAATTGTGGATCATTGGAAATGGTGTGACATTTGCCAAGTAGGCAGTAACATGCGGTAATTCATATTTGTCGTGCTGCAGTCACTGCTCTACGTAAGTTAATGCTGTTCTCTTCTTTGTCCCCTCATTCTGGCCCTGTGGCTGAGCAGTCCGAAGGAACAGTCCCCAGCTCTTCATCTTCTGTCGGTCCTGTGATGAAAACTGCCGGGCAGACGCAGGTGTGTGTGAGCCAGGCCACTGTGGGAACCTGCAAGGCCGCGGCTCCTGCTGTGGTCAGCGCAGCGTCCCTGGTGTCCACCCCAAACCCTGTCTCTGGGAAGGCCACAGTGTCAGGTCAGTACGTCTCTTTCTCTTGCTCTTTTTGGGATAGAATCTTTTTGAAAGATCTTAAAAAATATAAAAAGCTATTAAAAAACAACCCAGAGCTGGGCTTGGTGGTACATGCCTGTAGTCCCAGCTCTTTGGGAAGCAGGAGGATCGAAAGTTGAGGCCAGCTTGGGCAGCCTACCCTGTCTCAAAAAGTAAAACGGGCTGTAGCCCAGTGGTGGAGTGGTCCTGGAGTTAGTCCCCAGTACCACAGAAAAAGTAAAACATCCTTTTCACTTCTAGTTTGAATAATAATTTTTAAATGATACAATAAAACCATAGCCACCTAGAACCCTACTGGGTATTTTATTGTTTTCATAATGTAATTTCATGGAGCGTTGAGAGCTTGTTCTCTTTAAAGAATCTATTTCTTTTTTATTAGTGATGATTTTGAATGAAGCTCATTACAGAACACAGCATATATTTCTTTGCTCTCATAAATGCTTATGATATCTTTGCCTACACTAAGTGTCCCCCCAAAATGTACCTTTTACTTTGAATAACATAGAGACAAATTCTGAGGCCACATCGCCTCAGTTAATGTAACTCGTTCCACTCTGACCTGGGCAGTGAGGGGACGACACCTCCCTCAGGAGTGGGGGTCTGCCTGGGTCGTGTGCCTGTGTACGATGTCGCCTGGTTCATAGCGGTGATTATAGAAAGCTGCTGCCATTGCTCTTGTTTTCAATCTATAATCCTTTGTGTTAAAATCTGAAGAGCTCTGAAAAACAAGTTACATTTTTTGTAATTGTCCCAGCAATGTCAAACTGTTACAAAAGCTTCTAAACAATCTTAATTTCTGTGTACAATCTTGTTACAGATTGGTAACAACCAGTTTACCTGCTGATTTATAGAAAGATTCGCTCACACTCACACACGCCTTCCTGTTTTTGGATAAGGTGTTATTCTGAATGTGGCTCTGTACAAGCCTGTGTCTTACCCAGTTTTTCGATAGAGGAAAAAAAAATTTTCCACAGTTCCCACCTCCCATTTAAAACTGGCCAAGTTGTAGTATTGGTGTGCATGTTCTACACAGTGTTTGTTGGAGACCCAGTTAGGCAGTAGAGTAGAAGTAGAAATACAAGGAATGATTATCGTAATGAACACCCTTCCCTCTCCCTGTTCCTGCTTTAAGTTCTACTCATTTTTTCTTTTGGTACCAGGATCGAATTCAGGACCTTGTGCTTGCAAGGCAGGCATGGTGCTACTGAGCTAAAAAGTGTCACAGAAAATAAACATGGAAGGTCGGGGATTTAGCTCAGCGGTGCTGCCGCCTACCTTGCAAGGCCAAGGTCCCGAGTTCAATCCCTGGTATCAAAAAAAAAAAGGAAAGAAAAGAAATGTGGAGAATTATCTGAGAATGTTAATACTGATCATCTGCAGTAGAACTTCAGGTGGGTGTTTTTGGTCCTTTCTGTTTAACCTGTTTGTGAAATTTTCTGTGTTACTTTATGATTGTAGGACAGGGACAGTTTAAAAATTAATTATTCCTGTCACATCACTGTTTCATTGTGAACTCTTCAGTGTCTGTGGCCTCCTGCTGCCAATGCTTTATTTACTAAAAGGGTGAATGTCCCAGAACTTCCTCCTGGGAGAAAACACGAGTGGCAGAGAGAACAGCGATGTAAAGGGACCATCTTTCTTCGCCTTGGCTTTGTCTTCCCATTTACTGTAGGGTTGTTAAAGATTCACTCCAGTCAGTCCAGTCCGCAGCAGGCCGTCCTGACAATCCCTAGCCAGCTCAAGCCTCTCAGCGTGAACACCTCTGGAGGGGTGCAGACCATACTGATGCCTGTGAATAAAGGTATGTCCCCCGCCGTGGGCCACCACCAGCTCGGTCTTGGGAGAAGTTTGTGTTCCTCCCGTGGCTGCCGGCCTTTGCCTTGCACAGCCTGTCCTTTTGCTGCTGAAGCCCAGCCCTGGTACCTTGGACTCTGGAGCACCCACTCTAGGGCTAAAAGCACAACCTGTTGGTTCTAAATAGCAGCTCATTTCTAAAGTTGAGTCAAGGAGGAACATTTCCAGCATTTGTGAATGTTGAAATTGGCTTTTTCTTAGTTTACTGAGAAGCTTCTCCACTGTGACAGTTGAGGATAGAGCTCAGTTACTCTGTTATTAATAATAAACAGCCAAGCTTCTTAAATCACTGTATCAAAGAATGACCCTTATTATTCCTGTTGGCCTGAGATTGTTCTGTTTGTGAAAATATGGGGCTGCCACATATGTGTTATTAAAAACAATTTCTGTCTCTGTTTTCTCTTCCTCCTTTCTTGCCCTTTAGTGGTGCAGTCATTTTCTACCAGCAAATCCCCTCCTGTTCTGCCTGTGGCTGCCCCAGCTCCAGCTGTCCCCAGCTCTGCTCCAGCAAGTGTTGCAAAAGGTATGCGAGATCTCAAGGTTCTCTTAAGATCTGACTCTTATCTGAGTCCTTTAAATTTTCACCATCTGTGAGTCAGTCACTTGACAAGTAGGTACTGACTGCTTATCTAGACATTGAAGGAAATGCAGAATGATTTTTGCCTTCCAAAATTGTATAATGAGGTTGAAGAGAATTACAGTAAACAGCAAGCAATACTTGATAGATGGAAGGTAAGTGGAGTGGAAAATGATTGCTGAAACATTGCTGTCTAGGATGCCTCATCAGTGTTGGGCTGTAGAGGGAGCAGGACTTTGTGTGGGCGTGGATTTTACACCAAACTGAACCAGAGTGGAGCGTCTTCTGTGGAGCGGTCAAGAGGGCATGGCAGGTTAAGGGGACAGGGCAGTAGAGGTGAGGACTCAGAGGGCTTGTTTGGAGAGGTGGGAGAGCACAGATGTGACAAAAGGACCAGGCTTGGGCAGCCTGGGAGGGGATCTTCCTGACCAGAATAAAGTGATGCAGTTGGTCAGAGCGGCACACTCGCCCTCTGTAACCAATCCAGACATAGTGGAAACTACCATGTGTTTCAAGCCTTCAGGACCAGGCCCTGCTCGCTGCTTTGTATGGATAAACCACCAGTTCTTATTCCAGGACTTAGGCGGACCTGTTACGTCCATGGTGCAGATGAGGAAGCAAGTTTGGAGATACTGAGTATATGCTTCCCAGGTCTAGAGAGTAGTGAAGTTGGAGTTAGAAGAACATCTCCCCAACTGTGCAGGACTTCTCTGGTGTGTTGGGATCCTGAGAGGGTCTTGGGAAGAGGTAGATTTGTCATTGACGAATGTTCGTCTAAAGCGGGGCTTAGGTGATCAAGATCCACTGCCTGGTTTATAAATAAAGCTTTTGCACATAGCCAGGCCCACTTATCTGCATACTGTCCTTCAGTTGCAGAGTGTGGTTCCTGCAGAAGGCATATGGCCCTTGTAGCAAAGTGCTTGCATCCCTGTTAGAAGAGAACCCGTGACAGTGCTGGTGTTGGGCCGGAACAGTGCTTCCCAGTGGGAGGGACCTGTCGGGCCTGCCTCACACTGACACCAATTGAGGTTATTTTGGCTAAGGCCAGAGAAATTCTTTTGATTCTAATTGGAGTAAATGGTCAGTGAAACAAAATAATTCAGTGGAGCCAAGGATTTAGCTTAGTGGTTCTGCTGCCTGATTCGCAAGTACAAGGTCCCAAGTTTGATCCCTGGTACAAAAAAAAAAATGTGTTCCATTTGATGAGCTCATAAATGTACAAACCCATGTGAATGATACCACATTCAAGACACAGCAGTTTGCATGATACATACATACCTTTTCCAGTCCATTCCTACCCTCCGTGGACAGCACTCGTGATTCTGTTACTGTAGATTGACTGGTGTCGTTCACTGGACAGTTTCTGTGATCGATGTTCTTGGTTGTGCAGTTCCCATGTTCTACACTGGGGGAAAACTCACCAATGAAGAAATCCGTCTTTTCTCCTGTTGAGGGACATGAGATTTGTTTTCACTTTGGGGCTGTTATGTGTATTTGAGGGCCTGTTCACTGATTTAGTGGAAGAGCTGCCCCAACCTGAAAATGCTCTGATTACATAATTTCATAATCGTTCAACTGCCACGTGAAAGTGAGTAGACTGCAGAACTGGAGAATCTGAGCTTTTTCATTTTTTTGAAGAATTCCTTATTTCTTGGTCTCAGAATTACTAGGATTAAGGGGAATGTGCACTTACAGCAGGAAAATTAGCAAGGTCACTTAAGTCAACACAGATAGGAAAATGATTTGAATTTCTATCGACTAGCTACAATGATTAGATAATTAAATTGAAAGGAAACATTGATGGCAGTACCAGAAATACCAGACATCAGTTAATAAAAATAAGGAAAGCTGAGACAACACTAAAAACAGTCTGCTAAACATTTCTGAGAGAAATTTAAAGGATTTAAATAACATGAATATATTATTCTTTATTGAAAGATTCGAATGCTATCAGCTGTCCACAAAAAAGATGACATGAACTGAATAGTCTTAACCATAATTGCTATAATATTGGTAGCGATAGCAGGGTGCATGGGGGTGTTTGTGTGTAGATATTGAATACTCTAAAATATGTATGAAAATACAGATTGCTGGCCATCATGGCATACACCTGCAATCTCGGCACTTGGAGGCTGAGGCAGGAGGAGCCAGCCTGGGCTAGGTAGTGAGTTCAAAGCTAGCTTAAACTATATAGCAAAACCCTATCTCAAAAAACCAAAATAAATAAATACATGTATGTATGTATGTATGCATACATGTATACCTAAAAAGCCAAGACAGTCTTAAAGAACAAAAAAGGAAAATCATACCAAATCTGTGCATATATTATACAGCTATAGAACTTGAAATAAACTAAGATTGGCTCAAGAATAGACAGATTAATAAAACTGCATATAAAACCACATACATACAGTAACCTGATTTATGACAGATTCAATGTGGAAAGGATGGTCTTTTCCACAAACTACTGCAATAGGTGGATATGCAGAAGGCATATCCATTTGGGAAAACAAAAGTAACAGGTTGGATCATAGATCTGAACGTGAAAGGTTAAAAAAGAAAGCTCAGAGGAAATTACGAGGATGTTGTCATGGCAGCAGAGAGGTTCTTCCGCGCCGATGTACATGGCGGATTGGCAGGGCAGCACGTGGAGCCGGGAGCCAGCGCTGAGCAGTGTGCACCATGGCTTTTGAGCCCAGAGTGCTGTCTAGGAGAGCATGGCGGTCCTGGGCCTGACATACCGCTGTCTTCTCATTAGTAGATTTAGTCGAAGTTACGTACCCTTTATTGAAAATGCTGGGGATTAGAGTGTTTCAAATTTCAGACATTGTTCAGACTTTGAAACACAGCTTTCGCATACACATCAGTATCTTGGGGATTGGACTCCAGTCTAAACATGAAGCAGATTTTATTTTATTACACATTGAAGGTAATCTTATGCAGTATTTTAAATTTTGTACATGAAACAAAGTTTCATGATGTGGAATTTTTCACTTGGGGCATCTGTACTTAGTTGTAGACTTTGAAGAATTGGGAATATTCAGGTTAAAGATGGTCTACCCATAATTTTAAAAACCTGATGTGACTGGCTTGTCCGTTTCAGGCACAATAGGTCTGATTTTTGTTTTCTGTCTCTCAGAACACTGGGGTGATGCTGAAAGTCAATAAACTTAGCTGGGAGATGGGATTGAAGAGGCCGTAATAGCAGAACAGCTGGTGTGGCAGTTTAGCGTGGCCCTGTTGGTGGGGTGTAGGCCTCCGTGGCATGTGGTGGCCCTTAAAGAAATATCTAAAAAGCCATCTTAATATCTTCTCCTTGTCAAGCGCCTGAAGCTGTTCCTCGTGTGCCTACCCTGTAATGACAGAAGCCCTCCTGTGCCTGGCTGTGTCCCCACAGCAGCTGGATCGACGGTGGAAGGGATCCGTGGGCTCCGGCCCTGAATGCTTCTCTGTCTCTCTCTCCCTCCCTTGTAGTGAAGACTGAACCAGAAACCCTGGTGCCAAGCTGCCTTTCAAAGGAGGCCCAGACTGCGGTGAAAACAGAAGAAAGTTCTGAGCTGGGAAGCTACATCATTAAGTAATTATTCCAGTCCTCTCTGAAGGAGGTGTGCTTTGGGCATTTCGGTGGCGACCTTTGAGTGTCAGGCCTGTGAGCACTGAGCGTGTGTGGAGTGAGCCCTGGAGGCGGAGCTATCTCTGCACAGCTCCAGTTCTTACTTTAAGCAGCTGTGCTGTGTGACTTAGGGGCGGCCCTTGATTTTGGCCCTGGGGCTTCCAGTAGGGTTTAGGGTCCCCACTGGCTAAGCTGCTACGAAGGAAGCGGTGGGGATGGCGTTTCTCAGGAGGCGTCCCGAGGTGTGCTCGCATATGGAAGGGGCAGCCGCACACTTGCCTACACAGCTGCCTCTTTGGGAGCCATGCACAGGCATTGCTGCTTCTAGAAGTGCTTCCTGAGGTTCCCGGGAGCCAGCACCGCCGACCAGGCACTTTGCGGGTCAGCCTTAGCGTAGCTGATGTTAGGGTGGCGGCCCTGAAGCAGGCGTTACAGGTACAGCCTTTCTGATCCAGGGCCATCACCTTGTGACAAGATTACATCGCTATTTACTTTTAAAATGCGAATAAAACATCTGTGGTATTTGTGAAATTTGCAAAGATCTGTGTACTTTTTTTTTTGCCTTTTTAAGATCTTTGTTTTTATCAGTACATATTTTCTGGACACAGTGACTGTGAGGTGCGTGTACATCACACTTCTTCCGCTTCCCCTTCACCTCACTCCGCTAGTTTCTGTTTAAGCGTGGAGCGCTACTCCCTTACAGAGGCGGTCTGGGAGGGAGGACAGGCGCATGCAGCCGTTCACTGGGATACCGCAGAGGGTGGAATTGTGCGTGTAACTACATGTACATGACTGCAAACCACCACATGTACAGCTAACTGCCTTATTGTCCTCCTCCTCCTCAGGATAGACCATTTGGAGACTATCCAGCAACTCTTAACAGCAGTGGTAAAGAAGATCCCATTAATAACTGAAAAAAGTAAGACAGTTGTACTGAGTATGTGGTTTTTTTAAAGCTGAATGGCTTGGCGTTATTGAGTCAGCTTAAGTTACTTGGAATTGTAAGTTAATACTGATCGTTATTGTCTTAGGAGGACTTAGGTAGAGATAGGTCGATTTCAGAGGTTTGAGAATTCACAGTATTTTGGTCATTCGGTCAGTCTTTATTTTCACTTCTTGATGTTGAAGGAACTTTTTACATTTACTTTTTTTTTTTTTGGTCCTGGGGATCAAACTCAGGTTCTTGTGGTTGTGAGGCAGGCAGTGAAACCACTGAGCTAAATCCCTGGCCCCACATTTACTTTTGCATATAAATCATAAGTTGTTATATATGTAATTAAAACTCTGCATTAGCTTTCACTGTTTGTTAGTAAGGAAAGTAATTAGCACTTGCCTCCAGCGTATATACAGGTTGTTCTGTGTAATACCTTATTAGCCGCAGGCCCCGGTGTCATAGTCACCACCATTTCCCAGATGAGAAGGAAGATGGTTCAGCGAGGCTCACGCAGCTGGGTGGGGAGGCGGGATAAAGACCCCTCTGTGCTGTAAGACCACTGGTCTCCCACTGGAACTCCGTTCTCACTGTGGAGAGGCACATTTTCGGGACTCTCAAAAGCAGTCTGTTGCATCCCTGCCGTGTTGAGTGGTCTGTCTTGGGCCAGGTTGCGGCAGTATAGACAGCCCTCCTGCGGGTGGGGAGGGGCCGCTTAGGACAAGGTGTAGAGCACTGACCTTCCGCTTAGGTCATGAGAGAGACAAACCGTGTGCAGGCTCAGAATATCTCCGTTCTGTTTCAACGGGAACAACAATAAAATTATCTTTTTTTCTTCTTCTAAGTTTGAGGGATTGATTTTGAAGTGCTTGAAATAAACTTTCGATGACAATTTTCTAGCCCAACAAATTATTCAGAAATCTGGTTTTTTTTTTTCATAATTTAGATACAAATGCAAAATATTAGACCTGGAAGGGGTGGGGATCCAGTACAGTGGTAGGATGCCTGCCTAGCATGTATGAAGCCCTGGTTCAATCCCTAGTAACACTAAAAAAAAACACAGGGCACAGTGGCACACACTTAGAATCCTAGCTGCTTGCCAGGCTGACCAGGAAGGTAGGAGGTGTGCGAGTTCAGCCTGAGCAACATAGTGAGGCCCAGAGAGGTACTTAGGGCCCAAGGCCACTCCGTGAGTTCGCAATGAGGCCAGGGCTCCTACTAGCATGCCACTTGCACTTAATATCTCTGTGAGCCAGGCAGGGTAGCTCATGCCTATAATCTGAGCTACTCAGTAGGCTAAGGAAGGAGGATTAGAAGTTCAAGGCCAGCCATCCTGGGCAACTTGGTGGGACTCTTATGTTGAAACAAAATATAAAAAGGGCTGGAATGTAGGTCAGTGGTAGAGCACCCCTGGGTTCAATCCTCAGTATTAGGGGGTGGGAGGGATAGCTTCATGGCAGTAAATTCTGCCAGAGAAGCTCATTTCCCAGGGAACATCAGGAATACAATGCCTGAAGGGAGAAAATCCCCTCCGTGTTACACTGCACTTGAACTTGCCTAACAGTGAACACAGACCTAATAAGGCAGTCTGAAGAAACTCAGCCGTGCCCCCAGCAAATGAGATTTAGTCTGAGCCCTAACCACTGACTCGGTGTGTGGGGTTTGTGCGTTCTAGGCGAAGATGCCAGCTGTTTCTCCGCCAAGTCCGTGGAGCAGTATTACAGCTGGAACATTGGGAAAAGGCGAGCTGCCGAGGTAAAGCTTTCCCTACCTGGCCAGTAGGCAGGCCACCGCTGACAGCGCAGGAGAGGAGAGCCGGGCCATATTCATTCAGGCCGTCCTGGGATGGCGATCAGATTTACAGTCTGTTCCCTTAGAGTATTTGATGGCACTTAGCAAAGTTGTATCCCTCAGAGACCTGCAGCTAGCCTTCGGAAGGCTGACTTTCCCTGCCCTGGTAGAAACATCTTTCATATTTTCTAAAAGTTCTGAAGGTATTACACGAATTAGAGAATTTATTGGATATTTATAGTGTGGCAGAGGGAATAGCATTATAAGAAGAGGGAAGGGGCTGGGAACGCTTGCTTGCCTGGCAGCTGGGCCTTGGATTCAATATCCAGCACCAGGATAAATTTTCTTAAAAAGGAAGCCGGTTGTGCAGAGAGGCATCTGGGAAGCAGTGTGGTTGGTCGGGGAGGAGAAGGCGGGATGACGAGAGGCCAGGTGGAAAGCTTGGACGAGACCTTGGAGTTTCTGTTTTGTTTTATAAGCTTTAGAGAGGCGGCTGAAGCTCTTTTATTTATCTTTCACTCTGGAGAGTAGCATAGCCCAGGTTTGTTTTTTGGGTTTTTTGTTTGTTTTGGTTCAGGGGATCAAACTCAGGACCTTGCACTTTCGAGGCAGGCGGTGGCACCACTGAGCTAAATCTCCGACCTTTTGCAGTCCAGTTTTTTTCCTTAGACAAGAATGACTGTAGCAAGTTAGCATAGTGTTTTTCGGTTGCATGCTTCATTTCAACACTCACCTGTTAGGATGAATGATTTAATTACGGTTCCAAAAAAAATTTTTTTTTAAGTGGCAAAGAGCAATGACAATGCGAAAAGTCTTGCAAGAAATTCTGGAGAAGAATCCAAGATTTCACCACCTGACTCCCCTTAAAACTAAGCACATTGCACACTGGTGCCGCTGCCACGGCTACACACCTCCGGACCCTGAGAGCCTGAGGAGCGAGAGCGACTCCATCGAGGACGTGCTGACCCGGATCGACAGCGAGCCAGGTGAGTGTGGAGGCCAAGGGTCCCGGCTACACAGCCCCGCGGAGCTGCTTGTACGCAAGTGTTTCCCCTGTGTCACCAGAGCCGGGACATCAGGCTGGAGCTGCCCCGTAGGCACGTGTGTCCGGGGGCAAGATGGGGCCTGTGTCTCATCTGTCACTTTCTCTCCACACCTAGCCAGGAAGCACACTACCCGGGGTCGGAGGCCAAAAATTAAGTGTTTGGAGAGAAGCAGCATTTTGAGTTTTTCCTTCAAGATTATGAAGCCTGAAGTCCTGGCCACGAAGGAGGCTGAGGCAAGAGGATTGCAAGTTCGAGGCCAGCCTAGGCAGTGCAGAGGGCCTGTCACCGGAAAGGGGTGGGAGCGCTGGGGAGCAGCTCAGTGGTAGAGCACTTGCCTTGCAGGCAAGAGGCCCTGGTTCAGTTCCCAGCACAAGAAAAGAAAAGAGAGGAAAGGTGCTGCCCTGTTCATATAGAAGACAAGCTCTGCCTCCCAGCCTGAGGGGTCCTTCTGGGACGTGCGTGCAGCTTCCTGGGAGCCCTGTGTAGGATGACCTTTCCCTCCTCATCCCCCGCTGCTCTCAGTTCCATGAAGGCTTCTCTGCAGAGGCCGTATTGGTGACCTCTGTGCATCGCTGTTGCTGTTGGGTGCAGTACGCTACATACACGAGCCTTTCTGTTGAGGCGCCTGACCGATGAGTTAAGAGCCCAGTCAGTAAAACAGAAAGGCTGGCACCAGCTGCCCTGGCACCACCTCGCTAGGTGTGGGGGTCCATTTCAGACCCTCCTCGTCTGGAAAGTGAAGGAGGTGTGGTAGAATTGGCCTTACGCCCTTGCCGGGCTTTATCCAAACCCCCGTGAAAGACTGGGCTCACAGCGCACACTGAAATGCTAATAGTGCTCCTCATAAACAGTGAGGACCGGGTGATTTCTGTGCTCCGTACCATGCGTTCTAAATTTTCCATGTTTAAAAGATGAGGAAAAAACAGTTCGGTCATTAACACTGCAGTGGAGGGTTGGCCTGGTTTTGTGGCGGAAGTCAGGATTGCGTGCCATCTGCGTGGGCTTCAGTGGCGGTTGTGTGGGTGGCTTTGTGTGCACTTTTCTCCCTCGGAAGTGCTCGTTCTCTTCAGGGTCGATCTGTAGAACTTCAGGAGTGGGAAGGAGGTCGGCTCCCTTGAGGCATAGCCACCTTCCTCGGGCTGTGGGTCTGAATTGAGCACACTGTCCATGCACAGCACGGCTGTGACAGGACTGGTCACCTCTCGTTTAGAGTGCCCGTCATCCTTCTCTTCCGCCGACAACCTCTGCCGGAAACTGGAGGACCTGCAGCAGTTTCAGAAAAGAGAACCAGAGAATGAGGAGGAGGTGGACATCCTCAGCCTCTCAGAGCCACTAAAGATAAACATCAAAAAGGAGCAGGAAGAGAAACAGGAAGAAATGAAATTGTACCTGCCACCAACTCCTAGCTCTGAGTTCATTGGAGACATCACACAGAAGGTAGGGCATGGCCCGTGGGGGTGAATCGGCCCAGTGCCTGGCGCGCAGCTCTTCCTCTCCTCGTTTAAACTTGGACTTCGCTGGTGACCACAGCGTGTGGTTTCCTTCCACAGCAGCCAGGTGTGCTCTCTCTCTGTGCTCCCGTCCTCCCAGGCAGGGCCTCACTGGCTGCGGGCAGGGACACCTGGACACGAGCAGTTTACTACTTCCCGTGCCCTTTGTCTGTCTGCCTCAGAAGCCCTTTCCCTTCCAGAGTGTGTTACAGTATTTCCGAGTTATGCTTCAGCTGGAAATCTTTCCTGGACAGTTTTATGGCTTCCAAGGGCCTGCCAGTGGTGTAACACAGCCCTGCCCCGCCCTTGTTACACAGGAGAGAGCTGTTCATCCTCCCATGTGAGACTCAGCTTGGGACCAAAGGGAATGGCATTGTTTGCTGTCACGGGATGCGAGGAAAGATGGAGCAGTTTCCAGGACTACCTGGCCTCGTTCCGGAAGGGCCCTCTAGGCTGATTCTAGTGCCTCTGGAGTGTGACCCGCTGTGAGAACAGTGCCCACCCAGGAGAGGGAAGACTGGTGCAGATGGGAGCCCTTCTCCGCCACACCTCTCTATAGGTGGCAGCGTCTGCCTCCTGGAAGTAGGCTGTTTTAAATGTGGAAATGGGACGGTGGCTTTCTTCTCTTCCAGATTGGGATCACCCTGCAGCCTGTGGCACTGCACCGGAATGTGTACGCGTCGGTGGTAGAAGACATGATCCTAAAGGTGTGCCTGCTGGCAGCGGCAGCCGGAGCCACTGGGCAGGATGAATGGGCTCTGAGGGCCCGGGGCTCGGGGCAGGGAGTTGTTTTATGGAGCTGCAGGTCAGACCCAGAGTCCTGATCGTGCTAGGCAAGCACTCGGCCACGAGTGACACCAGCTGTTGAGGAAAGGATAAAGACAGAAAAGGAACAGATGGCAGGCATTTTAGCCTGGCCTCAGGTGCTTTTCAGGAAGCATCCAGGGCGTGAGGCGGTGTTCTGGGTGGCTAGGAGAGGCAGAGACAGCTGTGGGTGTCCTCTGCATGACACAGCAGAGAACCGGCCGCTGCTGTGCCCTCCCTGGGTGAGCGGATGGCAAGGCCATGCACCTGTATCTAGCCTGGTTCCAGTTCAGCAGCTCCTCACTGCATGCTCTGCGACTGCCGGGACACCTCGGCAGCAGCCCCACCTTCTGCTGTCCTTACAGTGTCTGAAAGCTACCCCAAAATGTAACTTCTCAGAACCATGGCCTCTGTCATTTGAGTCTGTTACTGAGATCTTAGTTCTTCCTGGAGGATGTTATGATTCTTAGTTGCAGTTATTTCAAAAGTCTGGACATGGGACGGGGTCAGATGCATCCCTTTTTGCATTTCTGGAGGGGCTGTGTGGGAATAACGGTGTCTTCCTTGTAGGCCACGGAGCAGCTGGTGAGCGATATCCTGAGACAGGCGCTGGCCGTTGGGTACCAGACGGCGTCTCACAGCAGGTACGCTGTCTGGTCGGGGTGCGCCTGCAGGGGCCCCCCAGCCAGTAGTTGCCCGTGGTGATGTTTTATATTCAAACCAGTATGAATTTGATAAATTGCTGTCAGATACACTTAAAAGAATACACCTGATGATAACACCCTTTGTTTTTCGGACCAGGATTCCCAAAGAAATCACAGTGAGTAACATTCACCAGGCAATTTGCAACATTCCCTTTCTGGACTTCCTCACAAACAAACACATGGGGATCCTGAACGAGGATCAGTGAACACCGGGACAATGCCCTCGGAAAGCAGGACTTAAGCGCTGTCTGAAGTGGGGGACTGCAGTGACTCTCCTGTCCCGAGAGGTGGTTTCTGTGTACCTCGGGCATCGCAGCCTTGCCCTGACTTGAGTGTAATACCAGAGTGTCTGCTCCACGTGAAACCTTGTAGGACAGAGTCTTGTTTCCTGGCGTGGAAGAGGGTTTAGATGGAGCAGGGCCAGGCCGTGAGCTACCAGGTCCTGCACTCCTCTGGGTGTGCTCAAGGGGGCGCCTCAGGCCCACGTCCCAGGAGAGGAAAAGTCTGTCAGGCATAAGGTTGCTCCTCTGGCTGGCGTTGCACTGAGTTGCACTGAAGCAGATCGGGCTTCGCACTCAGTGAGGGGCCGGGTGGGAGGCTGCACACTTCAGGATCGTGGATCTGAGGAGCACAGGTGCACAGTGCAGCCAGTGTGGGACCCAAGTCGAGGGATGGGGAACCGGAAAAGACCCAACTAACCGGGAACCCAAGTGCGTGAGGAGTGGACGGATCCACAGATCCCGACTTGGCAGATTCACCCCAGCTCCACACGGGTACGGGAGCTGCAGGAGCTGTGCTGCCCCGCCTCATGCGCCTGGGGGCCCCGAGCCATGCCTGTCCTGTCAGCGGCCCTGCATCCTGTCCTCCTGTCAGGTTTTTCCCCCCGGAAGAAAATGTTTAAGAGGAACACCTGTGAGTGCCTTAAAGTCGGAGAAAGAAGAGCGCGGGCTGCCCAGAGGCGTCCTGAGCAAAGCCACCTGTGGGAGGGCGCAGAGGGGGGCGGGCAGCAGCGCCGCCGCAGGTGTCCGGGCCGCGGGGGCTCGCCATCCCCGCCTTTCCGACACGGTCTGTGTCTCAGTCAAAAACCTGCTCTTTTCTGCTCAGTGAATATTCGAAACCTGTGAGTAGAGCCAGCGAAACTTACACAAGCGCCGTAATTCGAGTTTCCATGGGCCCCATAGATGTTTGTGGGAAGTAAAGCAGCCAGACGGCAGAGTTAAATCTACCCTTCTAATTCAGCCTGAGAGTTGCAAGTGCAGGAGAAATCTTTACAGTGGGGTGTGGGCCATAGGGGCGCCCTGGCCTGGTGATAAATAGCTGAGTAGCTCTGGCTGGGTGCGAGCGGGCGCAGGCTCAGCCCTGTGGCTGCAAGAGCTGAGGAGACAGACACTTTTGTTTTGGGTATGAGCGCCTACGGAAGTTTCCTTTTGGAAAAAGATACTAAATGATGTAACAGCCTCCTGTGTTCATGTATAGTGTAACAAGATGTCTACAATAAACCTTTTAATCACTTCTCGGCCATTTGGCTAAGATCAAGTGTACAATAAACCTTTTAGCATCTGTGATGGGTTTTCCTGAGCTGCGAGCACCGGCTCTAATGAGGCTGCTTGCTGCTTATTACATTAGGTCAAGAAGTGTGGGGTAGGGCAGAGGCAGAGGCTTTTATTTGTGTTTATTTTAAATTAATTCCTCTGCTTCTTTCCAAAAAGCATTTGCAGCCCTGCAACATAAAAGACTAGAGTTACATAAAAGTCTAAAAAAGTCTTTTTGGAAGACACATGTTGACTCTGGGCATAATTTTTTCTGACAGCTTGGAGCATAAATGAGCCCAGCATTTCCTCAAAGCCAAAGCAGAGGAAAACAGCTCCCGCTGTCCAACAAAGAAACTGGTTTGTGTGGGAGGTGGAGTGGGTCTGTGTGGAGCTCTGGAAGAAGTCACTCCGTGACAGTCCTTACGTGGCTTCAGTTCTTTGCAGGCAGTGGTTCCTGCAGGGACCCCTTGCGGCTCAGTCCTTCTGCAGCTTCACGCAGGGGCAGAGTTGAGAAGGCCAAGTGGGAGATGGAGGAGGGATGGTTGCCATCTGCCTGGGTTTTGAGCCGGAGCCACAGCACAACGCGTGTCACGGGCCCTGTTTGGCCCACAGCGCTGTTGGGGCAGCGCCTCCTCCTGCTGGGGTTGCAGGCTGCTCTGCTGTAGTCTCAGGTGGGACCTTGATATAATTGACTTTGAGGCCCCTCGACTTGTGGAAGGACCCTGGGGGCTTTGCATCTGGGGCCATCATCCTGCCCACACTCACTGAGGTGGCCCCACAGTGGTCCCTTGGTTATGGAATAAATAATGTCCGATAATGTGCAGTGCTTTGCTCTGGCTAAAATACCTAAGAGATGGAACTGCTTTTCCTTTTTGTTTGTTTGGGTTTTTTTTTGAGACAGGGTCTCACTAGGCAGTTGAGACTGACCCGGAACTCACTATGTAGCCCAGACTGATCTCAAACTCACAGCGATCCTCCTGCCTCAGCCTCCCGAGTGCTGGGATTACAGGCGTGCACCACCATGCCTGGCTGCTTTTCCTTTTTAAAAGCTTTCTTCAGTGAAATAATACAAAAGTGCTTATTACATAGAAATCTTAGCAAGTATAATAAAATGTGTAAGCTCCCCAGGTCCCCGTCTGGGAGCCCATAACCCTGTCACAGGCTGGCAGCACGCATGTCATGCACGCATGCAAGGCCAACACCACACCATCGGGGCAGGTGGTCATGCTGGGTCACTCCCTTCCCACGACTCAAGGACTCGCTCGGGTGAGCGAGGGGACACCAGGTGTGGAGCCTCGGGGGGTGTCAGTCCACTGCAGAGAGGCGCTGGCTAGCAGTTGGCCTGGCGGAGGTCAGGCCCCTCATTCGGCTCTGGCCTTAGCCCTGCTGAAGACAAGCAGGCTTTCTCCATCCCTGAAGGCTGCGGCAAAGTCCGTGCATCCTTTGTGGCAAAAGAACCGGAAGGATCGGGGTAGGGGGGGGGCTTCTGGTGCAGGCTCGGGATGGGGGAGCATTGCAGGGCGAGGGGCCGTGAGCACAGGGAGGAAGAGTTTGCCGAGACGAGGACCACTGTGCCCAGCTGTGAGGGGGAGCAGGGCGACCCGTGCCCACATCCGTTTCCTCCGGGCTCCTGCATGGGGCTGGCGAGGGTGCGGCAGTGGGTTTGGTGCGTCCTGCTGCCTGCAGCCACGGCGAGAAGGGCCCAGGGTTGCCGAGCCTCCAAGGGTACTGGCAGTAGCTGTGTAAAGTCGTCAGAGATGAGAGAAAAAGTATGAGGAGACTCTCATATTTATCATTTAAAGAAATGGAAACAGTACATTTTTGCATTTTAGTAAAGTCAGATTGTACAGTTAAGCCACTCCTCTCCCACAGAAGGCCCAGCAGGCGTCTTCCCCAGAACATGAGCGTGCAAACCGCGGACGCCTGGAGCCGAGCCCTATGCACAGGTGGCTTCTGCTCCCCCGAAGCAAGCGAGCAGTGGGGCGAGGGCCAACCCGCCAGAGCTAGCACCTCCGAGGGCAGGGGACACCTCCGGCAGCCGGGGACACGGCCACCTGTGTCGCCTGTGGTGGTTCAGAAACCTGAATGCCACCCTGGGGCCCGAGTGCGCAGGAAACCGAGACATTGCTGGAGAGGAAGAGGAGCCACGGTTTCCTTCCCGGAAACTCCTGCGCTTTGTGCTCAGCCCTGCGGAGAGGGCACCAGGCTCTCTGCAGGCAGCCTCCCTGGGGGACCTGGAGATGCTGCGCCTCCGCGGCGGGTGTGGCTTGTGCTGTGTGCAGAGCGGGACCCCGTACCGGTACCGGTATCGGTACCACGAGGCTGGTGCAGTTGGCGGGCACTGTGGTCATTCCCTACAGTTTTGTGTCCGGGCCATGCTGTGGGGTAAAGGCCGGCCCTTCTCAGCGCCGCGTTGGGCTGGAGAGGGGAGAAACACTGCCGGCGGCACCGTTGCCGTTGGAGACCTAATCCTGGTTCCTCAGCCCCTCCACGCATGGCGCAGGTGACAGGCGGAGTCTGCATGGAGACGGAGACGGGCCACTGTGAAGGCTGGCAGCGCTGCTGGTGGTAGGGCTGAGTCCTACATCCCGGAGGCCGCGGAGCTGGGACGCTGTCTCCCTCCCGCTGCTCCTCCTGACAGCCCCCCAGGCCGTCACACGTCGAGAATCCGGGGAGCAGAAGCCTGAAAGATGGCTGAGGGGTTAGGTGTAAACGTCTTCCTCACCTCGGGGACCTGAAAAGCAAAAGTGAGGCCCCATCAGTGGGGCTTCTGACTCTTTGCAGCTGGCAGCTGCAGGAAGAAATCCTGCAGGAATCAGGCCAGGTGGGACCGTGAACCTGGAGGCCGCCTCCCCCTCCACCTTCCCCCTCAGGGCTTGCTGCTGTGGTCACTCGGCTGTGCGGCACTGGGGATTGAGTCCAGGGCCTGGCACACTGGCACTCTGGTCGCGGTGACACCAGGGAAGCCAACGCTAGGGAACCCCCACCCGGTCCTGACAAGAGCCTCGACCTTCCGCTGTTAGGCCCGACTCATGGGCCCTGCTGTCCCTGGCCAGAATGCCGCTGTACCCCAGAGCTCTGGCTCCCGACCCTGCCCTGCAGCAGCACTCCCGGCTGACCTGGAGGCTGGGCCCCGGGCTGCCGTCCCATCCGGAGCTGCGGGTGGTGACAACTCTGGCTGGCTTTGCCTTTGTGGACCTTGGGGGTCTCACTCCAGTCCAAGCCTGGAATTCCTGCCTGGAACAGAGAACACGGTGAGCCTGGCACAGGGTCAGCAGCGGGGTCCATGCTGCCGCCACGGAGAGGGACAGAGAGCCTGTATGGGGGCGCCACCGGGGGACCAGGGCTCGCCCTCGCCTGGAGCGCAGCTGCGAGACCTTGTGGTGCTGAAGGTGAGCACAGGGCAGAGCTTGGCCGGCACCTGGGCTTCATTGGTCCAGAAAACACCAGCACCTGCTGCATGCTGGGCCTTGTGCTCTGCGGCTCTGCAGCTGCTCCCACGGACGCCAGGCTACTTAAGGGGCCCCAGAGCCCGTGACGCTCCACACGGCGGGTGGCCAGCGAGTCACAGGCCTCCAGCAAAAGGTCCCGTGCAGTGAAAAGAAAAGGTAAGGCTCATCGTCTGTGTGGCTTTACAACAGTCTTACGAACTCCTGCAAGAGGGTGGGTTCCGGGGGCCCTCATGAGAAACCTCAAAATGGCCTGGCTTGGGCACAGTGGGGAGTGGACCCGCAAGCTTCCTGTGTGGCCGTGCAGGGAGGGTGGTCTGCGTGGGGGACACTGGCTCCTGGAGGGAAGTGAGGCTGGTACAGCCTGGCTCCTTGTCCCCAGAGGGGCCTTCTCAGTGAGATTTTATTCCCTGCAGCAAGTGAGACTTCGTAATTGTCAGCGTCCCTGCTAACAGTGAGCTCAGGGAGGCGGAGGAGCCCTGTGACTGCAAAGGCCCCTGGCCCGGCACGGCCTGGTGAGGAGGGTGGGCTGGCCAGAGCGGGCCTGCAGGTGCACCATGCTGCCCTGCCCCACGCAGCCCTGGCTCAGTTTCAGGCCCTGGGGCCAACAGAGGCGCCTTTTGTCACTGGCAGTGCGCAGCTGGGTCCTCTGGAGCAGGCGGTGAAGGCAGGGAGGGTGGTGTATGTCTGTGGATAGCACTCAGGCCCAGGGTACCAGGAAGAGAGCTGGCAGGTACTCTGCTTCCAGAGCTGCAGGGTGCTGAGCAGCTGCCCGAGCCATCTGCTGCTCTGTTTTTCCCGGGAAGTAGGTCCTCCCAGGGTGTGCCTTTTTGTCCCAGACTGTCCCTTGGGCTTGAGTGGAACCCACTGCCCTGAGGTGGCTGCGGGAGTCCCAAGCAGGACTGGAACTATGGGCAGAGAAACCGAGGCAGAGGGCACCACAGTGGGGACAGAGAAGGAACATGAGAGATGGAATCAGCAGGACCTGGTGACTGAGGGCTCCAGCCCCGCCTGGCTGTGCCCGTGTGCCAGCCCTCATCATTTTCCAAGCACAGTCCAGCACCGTGGCCAGAGAGCCTAGGCTGTGAGGAGCGAAGGAGCCAGCCAGGTGGAGGGACAGGCTGGCTGTGGGCAGGGCCCCCTGTGCCCATCTGGCCCAAGAAGGCGGGCCAGTCCCACAAGGAACCGGCAGCCAGGCAAGGCAGGACCTGCCAGGGCAGAGATCAGGGTTGAGGGGTCCCTGGCACTTAAGGCCACTGGGTCAGGAGTAGCCACACATGGCTGTGCGTCTTCGGAGCATCTCGTCTGTTCATTTCTTTTGGAATTGCTTTAGCAGGTGGCTTAGATCAGTGATCAGAACAGCCCACTGCGGCACAGGTTCGCCTCCGCTGGCCTAGAGCATGCGGGGGCGCATCTCAGAGACCCCCATGTGGTGCTGGGGACCAAGTTCAGAGCTGAGCCTGGTTCTGCCTGAGCCTCAGGGCCAGGTCAGTCAGGCAGCCTCGGCTCTCCCACACCCCCAAGGATGGTCTGTGGCCAGTCTGCACACCGGGAGTGAGCCCTCCACTGAGTCCCCACTCCCATCCGTCCGTTTCTACTGCTGGCATCAGGACTCAGTTTAGTAAAAGGATTTTGCACGCTGTCATCCCAGCACTCTGGGATCTATTCAAATTAACATGCAGAAGTACATCTAGTAACCTCAGCTTGGGCAACTGACTTACTGAATCCCCGTTGCAAAATTTACAAGACTAGGAACATAGAGTGTGAAGGTCATGAGCTCAATCCCCAGTACTACAGAAAACCCCCCACCTGATTCTGAGGTGAGAGCCTCACCACCTATCTTGGAGGCCAGACAGACGAGCTTCACTCCTCTGGTGTTCAGAGCCAGGTGACCCTGCACCAGCGGCTCAGGTCCTCTTCTGTAGAATGGGGATGGCAGTAACTAAGAGGCCTCCAGGAATTCACCACAAGGAAGGGCACCCGCAGCCCGCATGTGCGGAGGCAGAGAGAGCGCAGCCAGAGGACCTGGCGGGACACGACAGCCACTATGCACGCAGGCCAGGGACTGGCCTTGGCCGCACATCCCAGAAGAGGCCGGCGGGCTGGTGGCTGCATGGGAAGGTGACGGCTACTGGAAAGGGCTTCTTTCTGGGCCAGGGCTTCCTGCCCTGTGTCAGTGCCTAGAGCCTCAGCGCTGTAACCCGCTTCGCCCCCCCCATCTGCAGGCTGCCCTCCTCCCCCAGCAAGGGCCTGAGAGCCCAGGCTGTGTCCGCCCTGCCACCAGCAGTGCCATCAGCTTGAGGTGTCGGCACAGGAAGGTGCACCCTGCGGCACGCACGGGGAAGGCAGCTGTCCTGTGCGGGGCTCCTTGGATGCACGCGTGTTGGATCTTCCCCTACCCGTGCAGCGCTCCCCACACAGCAGGACGTGTTTCAGGCTCCGGCCCACCTTCCAGAAGTCCCAAGGGAAGTTCCCAGAAGTACGGGACACCTGCCCGGAGTCAGGTTCCCCTAAATATTCCTGTAGCCAGTGCTAGACATGCAGAAGTGCGTGCGGATGTCTGTACCCACAGGCTAAGTGCGCATTTATTAAAATGAATGCTGCCGAAGTCCACGTAGTGACACGATCAGACCCACGGTAGAAGAACACTACAGTGAGAGTCACCACGCGTGGGAGCCGGGCACTAGGCAGAGGGAGCGTGGAGCTGAGCTGGCCTCCGGGTAAAAGTTAAAGGGCAGCAGATGGCAACTCCGGCCGGCCGAGGCAGGCCGAGCGCAGGAGCGGGCGCCCTGTCAGGAAGGGGGCGCTGCGGGGCG